ATCAAATGATACAAACCCCCCAAAAATATTTTTATATTTCAAGAAAATATACTTTAGTATACTTTCAAAAAAGTATATTTAACTTAAATGTCCACAAAATATATTTAAAGTATACTTTAAAAAAACGCATGTGCACAAAAATGTGCATATACCCCAGCATCCTTTTCTGCAGTTAGTCTTGATTTATAATATGATATTGTTCCTCATATTTAGCTTATTCAAATGTTTTGATGTTCATTTTTAAACTGAATAATGTTGTACTTTTAATTACACATTACAAGTTACACATTGCAAATTGTATTGAAATGTTAATTTATTACGGTAATGTGAACAACTAAAGTGTGAAATGCAAATAGTGCACAGTTCTCAAATCTGTTATTTTTAAATTTCTGCTCCAGCCACAACTGCTTTGTAAATAGCATGTCAGCATTGGCTGAGAAGATGCCTTGGTCATTTAAGGCAACCTTACATGGCTAATTACAATAGCTGATGTGGTTAATGAGTACAAGTGTATTGAAATACTTTATAAATACACTTTTTTTGTAAAGAAAATACAGGAATTCTAATTCAAATACATTTGTTGTATATTTCTAATTTATGAGAAAGTATATTTGTTTAACACTTTATCTAATATACTAAGAATATATTTAAGTACAGAAAAGTGTCCCAATTTAGATAGTGTTTAATGTATTTAATATGCTTAAATGCTAATAAGAAATAAAATAAAATAAATAAAAAATGTATGCACTCACTAACTGTAAGTCGCTCTGGATAAGAGCGTCTGCTAAATGACTAAAATGTAAATGTAATAAAGCATAAATAAAAAATACATGTATTTAAAATTGTTCCACTTCAGATTATTTTAAATATACTTAAAATATGTTATGAAGTATGATTTAAGTATATTTAAATATAATTTTTTACCTCTTGGGTTGTCATAGAAACATCAAGCTAAATCCAAATGATTCAAACCAGACCGTCAATGGAACTGACACAAGCCATTACCGCCATACAAGTTTCGGCTTTACAAATGGTGTTACAGAATTACCTGCCGGTGACTCTTAGCACACCATCTCATAGCCCTCTCTCAGAGACAAAAATGTGTAACTGGCCCTTCACACCTCTGGCCCTAATCAAACTGATTGGTTGCTAGTAACCAGGTTGCCAGGTGCCTTATCACACTGTGGAACCAGCCAATCACAGGTAGTCATCTTGGGTACCAGATCCCTAATTCCTGCCGCCCCCTCTGTCTTCTTCAAGCAGTTGCAGAGAGAGCATCAAGCCCCTACACCTCTTCCCTGCCCAACACAACTGGACTCATTCACATACCTTGACATGTGGGATGGTGTCCGTGTGTAAAGTAAGTTGAAGGAGGGAAATTGTATTTGTGTAAATTACTGCTGGTTGTTCAGTACAATATTAGTTTTTAGTTCTATACAGTTATTTGCCATTTGTTTCTGCTCTGTTCTGTAAGGTTCTGTATCTGTGCATTCTTGTCCTGGTATATTCATTTGCAATGTGAATATTCATTGTCTCTATTTTCTCCTGTTACAGAACCACTACCATTCCACTTTCCATGTCTGCCAGTGTATGTCAATAAAGTATCCCTGTGTGTAACTCTGAGGTTGAATCATTTCCCATCTCCTCTGACCGGGGGCGGGGCTAGCGGGTCACAGACCAGCAAAATATGGAGAGCCAGGTTGCGCTCTTTCAAATGGTGTGTAATTACTGAGCAAAATGGTGTGCAATTATTGATATACATAATTACATGATGTATAGGTCCCCTTGTCTGTCCAGTGCCCTGATCACTGTTTCGTTTCAAGGTACTTATGGAGACAACACTGCCAAAATAACAACTCAACACTGAAGACCTCCACTTGGCTGCCACAAGCTCGCTCAGAACAAGCTGCAGAATTCAAGATTAATTTGGATAAGTAGAAAATGCTGTATCCCACATGCTACAAGTTGCACTGGATCAGGGTTTCTGTAATGGGATTTGGTTTGTTTGATGTGAGGACTGTGAATTATGTTTGCTGTACTAATGATTCTGATGTGCCGTTTGAAACATTAAATCTGTTAAGTCATGCAACGGAAACCCAGTGCCCAAATGATGGTCGAAATGCAAACCCTCAGCTCAGCCATATACAGATACTGTAAGTACGGGGTAGGTCATCGTTTCATCCATGCCGGTATGAGGTGAAGTCTCCCCTGTCCCCTCTCCATCTGTCATGGCCAGGTATGTTGCTACTCGCCTTTGTGGGACTTTTACAGTTTATTAATTGATGTTCTCATATGAATTTCATGTTGTTTCTGCTTACTTGAATAGCTGTTCATGGAAGATATTAAACTACTATATGAATCTGTTACTTTGAGGTTCTGATGCTGTAAAACAAATTGTCTATTTCTTTCTGTGGACTATGGAAGAGGAGACATTTATCTTTTCAAATGGAAGGGTCGTATTCCTGGCCTTTAACCAGCACAAACATGTAGTTCCACCAATATCTAGTCTAGACATCTTTCACTAAATATTATGTTACATATGGATAGGCACAAAATACAATTTCATATAATCATCAAATCAAAATCAAATGTTAATTGTCACATGCTTCGTAAACAACAGGGGTAAACTAACAGTGAAATGCTTACTTATGGGCCCTTCCCAACAATGCAGAATGCAATAAAGACATTCAAATAACAATAATAATAGAAAACTAGATAAATAAATGCACAATGAGTAATGATAGCTTGGCTATATACATGGGGAACCAGTAACGAGTCGATGTGCAGGGGTACGAGGACATTGAGGTAGATATGTACATATAGGTAGGGGTAAAGTGACTAGGCAACAGGATAGATAATAGACAGTAGCAGCAGCATATGTTATGAATGTGTAAGTGTGTGTGGTAAATGTGTGCCTGTGTGTACGTGTTATGTGTGAGTGAGTGTGTGTATGTATTGGAGTGTCAGTGTAAGTATGTGTGAGTGTTTGGGTTGAGTCCAGTGTGTGTATAGAGTCAAAAAGAGTAAAACGTCAATGCAGATAGTCCGGGTAACTATTTGGTTAATTATTTAGCAGTCTTATGTCGTTGGGGTAGAATCTGTTCAGGAGCCTTTTGGTCCGGTACCAATTGCCTTGCGGTAGCTGAGAGAACAGTCTATGACTTGGGTGGCTGGAGAAAATGTTTAGGACCTTCCTCTGACACCACCTGGTATAGAGGTCCTGGATGGCAGAGAGTTTGACCCCAGTGATGTACTGGGACATACACACTACCCTCTGTAGCGCCTTGATGTCGGATGCCAAGCAGTTGACATACCAAGCGGTGATGCAGCCAGTCAAGATGCTCTCAATGATGCTGCTGCTGAACTTTTTGAAGATCTGAGGGCCCATACCAAATCTTTTCAGCCTCCTGAGGGGGAAGAGGCGTTGTTGTGCCCTCTACACGACTGTGTTGGTGGGTTTGGACCATGATAGGTCCTTAGCGATGTGGACACCGAGGAACTTCAAGCTCTCAACCTGCTCCACAACAGCCCCATTGATGTGAATGGGGATGTGTTCGGCCCTCCTCCGTTCTGCCCTCCGTTTCCTCTAAATATGTCTAAATCCCGCCGGCGAACTAATGGGACTTTTCTGTTTTTTTATATGTTGGCCACTAGGGGGAGATGGATTGTTCTTCTTCTGCATTAGGCTACCAGGAATATGGAAGGGGGCCATGGGATGGTTGGCCAGGATCCTTCACTGGGATCCTGGAGATGGTTGTAGACACAACATGGACCATAGCTGCAGCCACCTCTTCCAGTCATCCACCTCTTCCAGTTCAGTTTGAGTTAGTGGAAAATAAAAAATATAGAAAAATGCATTTTGAAATGTTTGAGAAACTGCCCTGTCAGTGGATTATAAAATGAACTATTGACATTCAACATTAATTAATTGAAGAGGGGTGAAATTTCCCCAGCCCCATCGCGCAACTGTATACCTAAACTAATGTTGTGGACTGTGATGCGTATTGTCAAACGTCACACTGGTGTCCACTTCCTTTTCCACAAAGCTTTGAAAATTAGCAATGCGAGTGTATAGCCTAATGCAGATTTAATGCAGCCTACTGTTTGAACAATTGAGATTCAGTAGATACTGTTGATGAATGGTTTACAGAACTAAAACTAACTTAGAAGGTTGACGTTTTCTAGGAAGGAGACAAGGTTTTTCTATATAATAAAAGGGTGAAGCCATGACGATAGGATTAATCACTTAAAATTTTTAAATATTCTCTGCATTCTGTTGTCCTCTTGTTGATGTCAATCCTTCCTGTTTCTCCAATTATAGTATCTGTTTCTTCTTTGGGTGTCTTTCCCATATGTTTTTAGAATATTTTGCACTTGTTCTTATGTTTCTATGACAATCAATTAAAAAGTTATTGCGAACAAGATTTTAATGCATTTTTATATGATTTGATTATTTCTATCAAATCAACACTTGACTTTATCTGTCCAGTCCCTAACAAAAACATTAGCTCTTGAAAGATCCTTCGTAGTAATCAGAGAGGAATGGAAATTGTTGTCAACCTTTAAATAGGCTAACGGGGAATGTCTGTTGAATGTCTGATATAAAACCTACTTTACCTCGGTATGTTCAGATGAGAGACAGGTTTGACCACTTTGGTGTACTTTTACATTTACATTTTAGTCATTTAGCAGACGCTCTTATCCAGAGCGACTTACAGGAGCAATTAGGGTTAAGTGCCTTGCTCAAGGGCACATCGACAGATTTTTCACCTAGTCGGCTCGGGGATTAGAACCAGCGACCTTTCGGTTACTGGCACAACGCTCTTACCCACTAAGCTACCTGCCGCCTACTTAATTTCCTTAGCTTAGTGGACTGCAAAGAAATTGAAATAATGTCACCAAAGTTTGATACCAGCAAACTGGAGAGCCTGTCACAATATACCAAGTACTTTGATTTCGTAAGACTTAAGGCTGATATTGTCGGATTGTACAGTTCACAAATGGTACGAGACAAATCACCTGGACAGCTCCTCAGCTTTTTGTTCCAGCATGACCTGACACAGACTGTCCCAGAGGCGACAAAGTTACTGCAGCTGGTCCTCACTATACCAGCCACAACAGCCTCCATTGAGAGGTCATTTTCTGCGCTGAAATTGATAAAAACCTACAGTCGAAACCAGACTGATCAAGGACGACTCTCATCCCTTGCCATCATCTCCATCGAGACCGAGAGACTTTTAAAACTGAGGCCCAACCGGGATGAGTTTTTTACAGTTCAGTCACTGATGTCGTTACACAGTAGGATAGACGGATGGACTTTGTTTACAAGTAAACGTAATTGCAAGTGTTTATTTACAGTAGCGCGGTCTACTATTATAATACTACATCTATTGTGTAAGTATACAGTGCCTTCAGAAAGGATTCATACCCCTTGACTTATTCCATATTTTGTGGAGTTACAGCCTGTTGTGTTCTCACCCATCTACACACATTACCCCATAATGACAAAGTGAAAACATCTTTGAAAAAATTGTTGCACATAAAAAAAAAGGCTAAACAGAAATATCTAATTTACATAAGTATTCACACACCTGAGTCGATACATGTTAGAATCACCTTTGGCAGTGATTACAGCTGTGAGTCTTTCTGGGTAAGTCTCTAAGAACTTTGCACACCTGGATTGTACTATATTTGCTTATTATTCTTTTTTAAATTCTTCAAGCGCCGTCAAGTTGGTTGTTGATCATAGCTAGACAGACATTTTGATGTTTTGCCATAGATTTTCAAACCGATTTAAGTCAAAACTGTAACTAGGCCACCCAGGAACATTCAATGTCATCTTGGTAAGCAACTCCAGTGTATATTTGGCCTTGTGTTTTAGGTTATTGTCCTGCTGAAAGGTGAATTTGTCTCCCAGTGTCTGTTGGAAAGCAGATTGAATCAGGTTTTCCTCTAGGATTATGCCTGCTTAGCTCTATTCCGTTTCTTTTTATAAAAGAAAAAAACAATCTAGTCCTTGCCAATGACAAGCATACCCATAACATGATTCAGCCACCACCATGCTTGAAAATATGAAGACTGGTACTCAGTGATGTGTTGTGTTGGATTTGCCCCAAACATAACGCTTTGTATTCAGGGCATAAAGTTCATTTCTTTGCCACATTTTTTGCAGTTTTACTTTAGTGCCTTGTTGCAAACAGGATGAATGTTTTGGAATATTTTTATCCGATACAGGCTTCCTTCTTTTCACTCTGTCATTTAGGTTAGTATTGTGGAGTAAGTACAATGTTGTTGATCCATCCTCAGTTTTCTTCTGTCACAGCCATTAAACTCTGTAACTGTTTTAAAGTCACCATTGGCATCATGACGAAATCCCTGAGCGGTTTCCTTCCTCTTCAGCAACTGAGTTCGGAAGGACGCCTCTATCTTTGTAGTGACTAGGTGTACTGATACCCCATCCAAAGTGTAATTAATAACTTGACCATGCTCAAAGGGTTATTCAAGGTCTGCTTTTTATTTCATTTTTACCCATATACCAATGGGTGGCCTTCTTTGCGAGGCACTGGAAAACCTCCCTGGTCATTGTGGTTGAATCTGTGTTTGAAATTCACTGCTCGACTGAGGGACCTTACAGATAATTGTACGTGTGGGATACAGAAATTAGGTAGTCATTCAAAAATCATGTTAAACACTATTATTGCACACAGAGTGAGTCCATGCAACTTATTATGTGACTTAAGCACATTGCTACTCCTGAACTTATTTAGGCTTGCCATAACAAAGGGGTTGAATACATTCACTCAAGACATTCCAGCTTTTCATTTTTTATTAATTTGTAGACATTTTGAAAAACATAATTCCACTTTGACATTAGGGGGTATTGTGTGTAGGCCAGTGACACAAAATCTCAATGTAATCCATTTCAAATGCAGGCTGTAACACAACAAAATGTGTAAAAAGTCAAGGGGCGTGAATACTTTCTGAAGGCACTGTATATCTCAATCAGTAGAGCTGACTACTAGGCCTTTTGTGTGTATCACTGTCTACAACTAGGCCTACTCGCTGTCATTTGGGTCGCTGTCTGTGGTGCTGAAAGATGCCTGTTCGTGCGAGGCAGTTTTGTGGGGCACAAGCTTTTAGTGCCTGTGAGTGTATCTAATGGTTGCACAGCCTACCTGCTGCTGTTTGATGGTTGGTTTTTGTATTTATTAAGGATAACCTCTACTCTTACTGGGGTCCAGCAACATTAAGGCAGTTATATACAATTTAAAATATTACATGACATTACATTTCATAACACTTTACACAATTCATCAATTGTGTTCACTCAGGCCGCTACTCTACTAACACATATCTACAATACAAAATCCATGTGTATGTGTGTGTAGAGTGCGTGTCTTATCATGTGTATGTGTGTCTGTGAGTGTGTGTGTCTCTTCACAGTCCCCGCTGTTCCATAAGGAGTATTTTTATCAATTTTTTAAATCTGATTCTGCTGCTTGCATCAGTTACCTTATGTGGAATAGAGTTCCATGTAGCCATGGCTCTATGTAGTACTGTGCGCCTCCCATAGTCTGCTCTTGACTTGGGGATTGTGAAGAGACCTTTGGTGGCATGTCTTGTGGGGTATGCATGGGTGTCCGAGCTGTGTGCTAGTAGTTTAAACAGACACCATGGTGCATCCAGCATGTCAACACTTCTTACAAAAACAAGTAGTGATGAAGTCAATCTCTCCTCCACTTTGAGCCATGAGAGATGTACATGCATATTATTAATGTTAGCTCTCCGTGTACATTTAAGGGCCAGCCTTGCTGCCCTGTTCTGAGCCAATTATATAATTTTCCGAGGTCCCTCTTTGTGGCACCACACGACTGAACAGTAGTCCAGGTGCGACAAAACTAGAGCCTGTAGGACCTGCCTTGTTGATAGTTTTGTTTAGAATCCAGGGTTACTCCAAGCAGTTTAGTCACCTCAACTTGCTCAGTTTCCACATTATTTATTACAAGATTTAGCTGTTTGATGGTTGGTTGTGGTTGTTTGATGGTTATCTTTGTGATTGTGTCATTCTGATGAACACTGTGTGTGCGAGTGAGTGAGAGACGGGGACCGGGGGTGGGAAAGGGATTTGTATCCCAAATCAATGGCAGGAAAGGGATGTGAGTGACCCCTCACTTTCACATCGTATTACAATGCCATGCTGCCTTGATTGTGAACTGTATATTTTTGTGATTGAAAATAAAATAATTTTGCTCTGTATAATTTCTGCTCTGTATGTAATTGTATCTCTTTAAGCTGTTTTTGAATTGTTGTTTGTTGTAACACAGGACACCATTGAAAAAGAGACCCTGGTCTCAATTGGGATTCTCTATATAAATAATGGTTAAATAAAATTAATACAAATGTTATAATGTTTCCTATCAAATGTATGAAACAATGTTTTTGTATCAGAATATTCATAAACATTGTGATTGGAGGACAGCTGTGAGGGTTATCGGATCAAATCCTCTCTACTCCTCAAGCTCATTAATGATAAAATGTTCATATTTGAAGATTGCCGAAAGGCCAGTCTGTTTGGCATATCATACGAAGTACTCTACAAGGAGTGAATTGTTAGCAGAAACAGACTGGTAGCCAGGCTAGCGTTGGCCCGGGTATCCTGCGACCCAGACTGAATTTGATCTAAATCGAGACAGCTCGAACGGATTCCCTCAAACACGCTGATTGTCATGATTAGGCACTAAGGAGCAACTTTGCCGCTGCTGGAGATGGCAGATCGTATTTTCACTCGGGTGGTTGAGAGGAAGAAGGCAGAAGTTCTGGTTGAAACTGACTTCGGGAGAAGATGAGAGCATAGACTCGGATGAAGGATTGCGGAGGTGGATGTGGAATATGAATCAGATGGCAGTGGAAGTAAGGAAGAATGGACCTCTGTCCAAAGGAACGGGAAAAGAAGCAAAGTTGGGAGGGGAAAGAAGATACCTAGTGTTGAGAATACCTCATCATATTTGGTGGAAGTCTGGTTTCTGGGAGAATTGGGGCCGAATTGTCAAAATCGTTGGAAGTATCTGAGATGGTGGAGAGGTGTGGGTAAAGTGGAGTCGGTGAGGGTCACGAGGAGTGGGCTGGTCTGGATTTTTTGTGTTTCTGTTGGCTATCAGACGAATTGATGACCATGCTGTATTGTGCTTTAAGCTAAGGAGAAGAGCGCCTGTCAAGGGAGTCATTGCTGGAGTTGGGTCAATGGCAAGAAAGAAAAGAGCTTGTCTATTATGGTGTCCCTCCCGATCCGAGTGGAGCTGGGGTACGTGCACTCTCCTGTAAGAGCTTTTACATCCAGGCGGTTGCAGTATAAACGGTATAGAATGTTTGGACATGTAGAGAGCGTCTGCAGGCGGAGGAATCCGAGATGTGGAAGTTGTGGAAGAGAATATCATGGTGAAAGTTATGAAGAAGATGAAGTGTTGCAATTGTTGTGGAAAGCATGTAGCTACATCATCAGAGCGCCCGACGAGGGCGAAAGAGAATGAGGTTGCCAAAGTCAGGGCCATCCAGAGCATTTAATATGCAGAGGCTGTCAAAAGGGTGGATGGAACAAAAGGTACTACTGAGGACTCCATTGTTTTGGGTAGACCTTCAATGCAGGCTGCGGAGTTGGCTTCCCGCCAGCAGGATCCAGGGATGCAAATAGTCCAGGTAGCCATTTGATTAGCTGTTCAGGAGTCTTATGGCTCTGCGGTAGCAGAGAGAACAGTCTATGACTAGGGTGGCTGGAGTCTTTGGCAATTTTAGGGCCATCCTCTGACACCACCTGGTATAGAGGCCCTGGATGGCAGGAAGCTTGGCCCAAGTGATGTACCGGCCTGTACACACTACCCTCTGTAGTGCCTTGCGGTCGGAGGCCGAGCAGTTGCCATACCAGGCAGTGATGCAACCAGTCAGGATGCTCTCGATGGTGCAGCTGTATAACCTTTTGAGGATCTGAGGACCCATGCCAAATCTTTTCAGTCTCCTGAGGAGGAATAGGCTTTGTCGTGCCCTCTTCATGACTGTCTTGGTGTGTTTGGACCATGATAGTTTGTCGGTGATGTGGACACCAAGGACCTTGGAAGCTCTCAACCTGCTCCACTACAGCCCCGTCGATGAGAATGGGGGTGTGCTCAGTCCTCCTTTGAAGTGCTGTTACGAGCAGTGCTACCCTCTCAGAGCCTGGGGAGGGAGCTATGGAAGAGTGAAGAAATGAGGGAGTAGGTTATAGGGTTTGTTAAGATATTTAGTTATTTAATTTTTTTAAAGCAAAGTATAAGGAAGTTATACTCCAGTCTAGTAGGTGCCGGTAATGCAACATTTATTGGATGCCAACCGCCGTTAAACCTCATCGAAGAAGAAGTAGTATGCTGAAACACAGCCAATACAGTAGGTGGCGGCATGCACTTATAACATTTGTTTGTTTTTGACCGCCGTAATATCAAAGAAGAAGATTAGGTACTGACAGCAAACAGCTGTATTGAAACCCTCGCATGTGCAGCTCAGAGAGGCATATCAACTTCATTGAAAAAGGCAGCATACAGCAAACCACCATACTTCTGAAATGCCGAATGGTAAGTAGGATTGCAGTACCACACTAGTGAATTTAACTATACATTTATTTGGTGTACAGTTTAAACATTATCGTTGATCAGGTAAAGCGAAGGATTATTTTCTGAAGCCACTGGTAGCAGACTACGAGGAACTGCTGGGTCGTTTCCAACAGACGGAATCCGTGCGATTTGAGGAATTTACTGCTATTTGGAGAAGCATGGGCTTCTCCAGTTTATTTTAGTAAGGCCCTTTTCTCTTTTCATCAGTCATCTCTTTAAGATTACCTGCCGGCCTACCTATTGTCGACAATTTGTTGCGAAATATGTCGTTTCTATAATACACACTCAAATGTTTTTTAAAACATGCAGATTATTATTAGACCACAACACACTGCCAACCTGTGCCTGGTTTCCCGATAACTATGGAATTTAGGCTTACTAAAGTTAGTGTTTTAACGATGCATCTTTCCTACAACGGCCGAAGATGTAACATTATTTTCCCAAAACGCCACGCAGAGAACAACGCTAAGTGCGTCGTCGGAGCATTTGTTGATACTGATAGGATCGAAAGAAGGGCAGCGCTACTCGCGAGTCAACTTTCTCAATTGAAATCTTACTTTAATATTATAATTATTTCACAATACTGACGACGGATCAGCTTCTAGTGAGAGATTACAATCTATGGCTGCAAATATTGAGGCGGCTTATTCTATTGCAATACCCAATAAAAATGCACTAAATCAGTGATTTGGCACATCATTGCGCACATGTTAGACTACTCATCATGAAATGTATTTGACAAATTAGGCAGTAGCCTACAATTAACAAAATATATTCAATCTATTGAACATGAAATGTATTTAAACATGATTGAGATAGGCCTATAGGCTACTGTATTTATATTTTAATGCAGTCATCTCGGTTTTAATTTAAAGTTGATTTTATACCCCGCTTGTTTGTATTAAAGACATTGGCAACTTTATTTGTAGTGAACTTTGTTCAGCAATTGCAGAGAGACGGATAAACCTTATGATTCTATGTTTAGCGGAGATCTGTGTCTAAAGTGACGCGGGAGGGCAAAAAAGCATATAATTAAGCATTTAGCTGTACTTTAACGACGCTCCTACGAAAATTCTAACTTTGAATTTAGCCTTAAGATGCTTTTGGGAAACTGGGCCATGGTCACGTTCCGGAGGGTGCAGTCAATGTTGTAGATGGTTCATGCCATGAACAGAGCTGACACATATCAGGAATTCACAACAATAGTTGGTGCTGTACAACAATAGTTGGTGCTGTTCCTAGAGGTGCTACTTAAATTAAGAGATTATTATGTGAGCTCAATAACACAGTAAAATAATGTTTTTATTTTTAGTCATTTTAGTAGACGCTCTTATCCAGAGCGATGCTGAGACTCAGATTTTTCACTTTAAAATGAATGCCCCCCCCAAAAAAAAATTATGCAGGGTTAAACAAACCATACAACTCTATGCACAAGGACTACTTTTAACAATTTCCATAGCAAATTTTACACAAACACATTTACTTGAACAGTTCAGATACAACGTTTGGTAAAAGAATGACGGCCCAAATCGTCATTCTGTAACCAAAATTAGCATTTGCGCTGTTTTTCCAAGTAAATGTGTTTTTGTAACATTTCGTAGAAATTGTTAAAAGTAGTCCTTGTGCCAGTAACGGTGCGTGGGGTGAAAGAGCCATATTACAACCTATGTGTTGTGATAATTGCGTTGTTTGCTCAATAAATCCTGTTAATTCATATGCCTTGTGATCGTGATATATAGGCTAAAGGCCAAGACAATAAGAAGACACAGTGGCAGAATAAATTTAGCCCCACATGTTTTGAGCCCCACATTGTTTGCAACAACATTCTTTTGTAAAAACAAACAACACATTTATTTATTTATTATTTTTTTTTTGGGGGGGGGGGGGGGGGGGCTTGTTCTCTAGGTGTTGGTAATGTTCTCTAGTTGCGCCATGATTGGCTCAGTGTTCTGTCACTCACGGGGACACTACGTCACCGCCAAGTCTGACTTGAAAGCACCATCAATCCAGAGAATTCCAGACTTTGATGACAAAGTTTGATGACAAAATTTGCCCACGAAGGACCGCCACGCCACTTTCCTGTTCAAGTGAGCACAGCACAACAAGGTGTCCAAATATGTCTTGTATGCTGCTGCATAAAATGCCAGGGAGATATGTATACTGTAGCTAAGAAAGTAATACTAAGTGTATGTTGTATAGTAAGTTGTTAGTAGCCCATGTGCCTCACCCTAATAATTTGGTCTATTTTCCCCTCTTAATTTCGCCTACTGTTCTGACTTGGTGGTGCAGATGTAGCCTATAGCCTGTTTTAGTGAAATGTCATCAAATATTGTAAGAGCTTTCATTGTCTGCTTATATGCCCCCTTTATTCATCCTACGGTTCTGACTTGGTGTACAGGGAGAACGCTGTAAGAACAGCCCATGTTCAGAATTCTGTCGCTGTGCATTTAAAAAGTGGTGAACAAATAGTTATATTGACTACGTCCATCCTAGCTCGCTCATTAATGTCTTCATTGAAATTATAGATTGCCTCTTGTCTGCTTGTCTTCCCCTTATGCCATAGTTTGTACATCTCAATTGTCAGTAGAAACCACATTTGTTTAAGCAAGTCAGCCATATGAGCTGTGTTTTTTTATTTTTTTATGCAGTAAATTACGCTGAATGAACTGTTTCGCTGCCAGACAAGGCTCCGCTGATAGCCAGGTGTAGAAGTGGGAAGGTGTTGGGACAGCTTTATGTAGGCCCTAACAGTTTGTGGGCACAGTTTGTCACCGTTATAATGCAATGAATGTGTTGTTTAGTGTTGTGTAGTGGCTTTGCTGGTATGCATCCCACTTATATATGTTTTGCCCCACCAAGATTTACATGCTAAAATCACCACTGGTCCAGTGAAGTCCACAAAGCATATTGCATATACAGTAACAGGCAGTTACATGACCCACCGCATGGTCAAGCAAGTTAATGTTTCTGACTTTTTCGGACCACTAAACAACTATTGATTTAGAACCAGAGTTACCACAAGTCGCAAAGAAAACAGGAGCTGCCTCCACTATTCCAGCACCATTTCAACTTCAACATCATCAAATCACCTCTGCTTAGTCTAATACAATGACGACTAAAAGATACCAAAAACTATTTAGTCCAATCAACGTAAGCTAAATATGATGTGGCTCTCCACGGTTCTGATTTCTGTGTGTGTGCACGTTCGTGCAAGTAGAAAAACATGTCTCTACTTGTAGAGAAAAGCCAATGCCGCCATCCTCTTTCATGTTGACGAAAAGGTCTATCACACTGTCATGCAGTACATGCTTTTATTTTTTGTTGTCCTAGGCTACCTGGCTAAAATGCTTGCTCGCCTAACTTCCATTCATGGCCAACATTAGCTAGTTAACATTAGCCTTCTACATCTAACTACATATTGAACTTCCATCCTCTCAGGCTAAAGGCACAACGATATATATAAATTAATGGTTGGATCAGAATCACCGTTATAATCATTGGCCAGTACGGAGAATTAAGTAAAACCACAAGTCCAAATCCTTATCTCCATCCATGGCTAATTTAGGAAAGGGACAATTTTAGCTATCTAGCCACTGGAGGACAACACAGCTAGATGCAACAATTCAAGTTATGTCAGTGATGTATGCTCTCATTGGGATTTGATATGAGTGACTCCAAAATCCAAGCTGGCTTCCCTTGACACTTTTGGTGCGCCAGGACCATTCGCAGTTGCGCTCACTCAGTTTAGCTCAACGCTGATTGACACATTTTTTTAATACGTTTTTAGCAAGGGAGGCCAAATGCTTGCTGGCTTGCCTTCAATGCTACGGGCGGCAACAATGTCATACTTGTTTGGACCAGACATTTACATTTACATTTACGTCATTTAGCAGACGCTCTTATCCAGAGCGACTTACAGGAGCAATTGGGGTTAAGTGCCTTGCTTAAGGGCACATCGACAGATTTTTCACCTAGTCGGCTCGGGGATTAGAACCAGCGACCTTTCGGTTACTGGCACAACACTCTTACCCACTAAGCTACCTGCCGCCCGCATCAGATAGATGGCCTACACATAGAGAGACAGAGGGGCGCTGTTTCACTAGCTTGGATGCTTTCTCCTGTGAGATACATTCAGCCTCTTGTGAAATGATGGAAAATTATGAAACAGAGACTAAATAAATTATTTAATGTTAATTTATTTTATTGGTAAATGTTTTTGGGAAGCCTGGATTCCCTTGGGATCCATGAATACACACCACTGCCTTGTGCATAGTTGTATGGTTTGTTTAACCGTAGAATTGCCCGAGGCACCGGAAATGCTTAATTCTGCAGGAGTTAATATTAATGCTACAGTACGTGAGAGGTTATAGACCTACAGTCGGTGTCCAGATTTCAGTTTCCATTCAACCCATCTGAACAGTAGGCTACAGTCCTCTTAACTTGCCATAGGCCTATTTGAAGTCCCTGTCTTGTGACTGTCGAATTTGTATAGCGCCTCACAATGATCTTTTACCACTTTCCCAAATCTTTCCCAAACATTACTTTTCTGGCCCTCCCTTATCTTTATTTTTAACTCTCCATTTCGCAGCTATTCTCTTATTGAATTAAACTTCGACATTGTCCTTTTTGCCTCCGTGGATCGACGTCAACTTTTTCTGCCTGTTCCTAAAAGCGTTTGGCGTTTATGCTATTTGACGAGTGTGCATTTAGACCCTAAAGCTTAGACTTACGCACTAATGCCAGATAGGCTAAAATAATGAAAGAAAAACCTCAATGTAGCCTATAGCTATAAATGGCAATAAGAATGATCCATTTGTTTTTTTTAAAGGTATTGTTTTCTCTTTATTCAACCCGCCTGTCACCCACCTGTCCTTTATCGACACAATATTTAATGACCCTAAACCCGCCAAACCACGGGTTTAACCATGAGGACTGCGGGTTATGTGTCATCCCGCGCACCACTAATGGAGGACTTCATAGCATATATTTTGTTGGAGGGGAATTATATTTTAAGAACATGCAATTACAAAATATAGGCCTAAAATCTGTCAATGTTTCTAGGACTACTAGTCCTCCTAATTATTCTGGGCCTGTTTCCCAAAAGCATCCAGGCTAGTTCATCGTTAGAACATTCGTAGGAGCGTAGTTACATTTCCGAGCTGTTTCCCAAAACCCTCGTTACTAAAGATGAACTTGAGTACACTCTTTATTTACTGACTGCCTTAGACGACTCAGAGAACATTTTAAGTGTGTCGTTGGGTGCCTTTTTGCCTTTCCGCGTAGCTTTATACACAGAAGATCTCCACTAAACATAGAATGAAGATGTTTCTCTGTGACCGCTATAACTTCAGAACGAAGTTTACTACAAATACAAAGTTACCAATGACTTTTCAGGAGTTACAAACAAGTGAAGGATAAAAATATGCTGAATGAACCGAGTTGACTGCATAAAAATATTAATACAGTGCCTTCAGAAAGTATTCACACCCCTTGACTTTTTCCACATTTCTGTTACAGCCTGAATTTAAAATGGATTCAATTGAGATTTTGCCGCTGGCCTACATGCAATACCCCATAATGTCAAAGTGGAAGTATGTTTTTAGAATTTTTTACAAATTAATAAAAAATGAATAGCTGAAATGTCTTGAGTCTAAGTATTCAACCCCTTTGAGGGCAAGCCTAAATAATTTCAGGAATAAAAATGTGCTTAAAGTCACAAGTTGCATGGACTCACTATGTGTGCAATAATAGTGTATAACATGATTTTTGAATGACTCCCTCATCTCTGTACCCCACACATACAATTCGTTGTGAGGTCCCTCAGTCGAGCAGTGAATTTAAAATACAGATTCAACCACAAAGACCAGGGAGGTTTCCCAATGCATTGCAAAAAAGGGCACCTATTGGTAGATGGGTAAAAATGAAATAAAATCATTCATTGACTATCCCTTTGAGCATGGTTAAGTTATTAATTACACTTTGGTAGCATGGCCAACATTTCATATCACTTATTTTTTTCTAAATTGTATGTTTTTGAATAATCGTTACAAATTTGCTCTGAGTAGGGCGTGACCCCTAGGGTGGCAACACATACAGTGCATTCGGAAAGTATTCAGACCCCTTCACTTTTTCCACATTTTGTTACATTACAGCCTTATTCTAAAATGGATTAAATAAATAAAAATCATCATCCATCTACACACACTACCCCATAATGACAAAGTGATAACAGGTTTTTAGAAATGTTTGCAAATTTATAAAAATAAAAAAAACGGATACCTTATTTACGTAAGTATTCATACCCTTTGCTATGAGACTCGAAATTGAGCTCAGGTGCATCCTGTTTCCAATGATCAGCCTTGAGATGTTTCTACAACTTGATTGGAGTCCACTTGTGGTAAATTCATTGATTTGGTCATGATTTGGAAAGGCACACACCTGTCTATATTAAGGTCCCACAGTTGACAGTGCATGTCAGAGCAAAAACCAAGCCATGAGGTTGAAGGAATTGTCTGTAGAGCTCCAAGACAGGATTGTGTCGAGGCACAGATCTGGGGAAGGGTACCATTTATGCAGCATTGAAGGTCCCCAATAACAGTGGCCTCCATCATTCTTAAATGGAAGATGTTTGGAACACCAATACTCTTCCTAGGGCTGGCCGCCCGGCCAAACTGAGAAATTCGGGGAGAAGGGCCTTGGTTAGGGAGGTGACCAAGAACCCGATGGTCACTTTGACAGAGCTCCAGAGTTCCTCTGTGGAGATGGGAGAACCTTCCAGATGGACAACCAGCTCTGCAGCACTCCACCAATCAGGCCTTTATGGTAGAGTGGCCAGACATGACAGCCTGCTTGGAGTTTGCCAAAAGGCACCTAAAGACTCAGATCATGAGACACAAGATTCTCTGGTCTGATGAAACCAAGATTGAACTCTTTGGCCTGAATGCCAAGCGCCACGTCTGGAGGAAACCTGGCACCATCCCTACGGTGAAGCGTGGTGGCAGCATCATGCTGTGGGGATGTTTTTCAGCGGCAGGGACTAAAAGACTAGTCCGGATCTAGGGAAATATGAACGGAGCAAAGTACAGAGATCCTTGATGAAAACCTGCTCAGGACCTCAGACTGGGGCGGAGGTTCACCTTCCAACAGAACAACAACCCTAAGCACACAGCCAAGCCAACGCAGGAGTGGCTTCGGGACAAGTCTCTGAATGTCCTTGAGTGGCCCAGCCAGAGCCCGGGCTTGAACCCGATCGAACATCTCTGGAGAGACCTGAAAATAGCTGTGCAGCGACACTCCCCATCCAACCTGACAGAGCTTGAGAAGATCTGCAGAGAAGAATGGGAGAAACTCCCCAAATACAGGTGTGCCAAGCTTGTAGCATCATACCCAAAAAGACTCAAGCCTGCAATCGCTGCCAAAGGTGCTTCAACAAAGTACTAAATAAAGGGTTTGAATAATTACGTAAATGTATTTCAGTTTTTTTTGTATGTATATATTAGCAAAAATGTCTAAACCTGTTTTTACTTTGTAATTATGGGGATTGTGTGTAGATTGCTGAGGGGAAAAACATGTTTTCTCTTAGCTACTCTGTGTAGGTAACACATTCATGCTTATTCCTCTTTGATTTAGAAAATACTGTTGTACAAACATGATGATTTAGGCCTACAGCATCACTGGTATAAGGCGGTATAGCTAGCTATGTTTGCTCTGTACATTTATTTGTTAGCTAGCTAGCCAGCTAACTAGTGATTAGCATTAGCGGCTAACACAAATTAGCCACAACTTGCTAAGAATAGACAAACTAGCTGTTTGCAGATGTAAGTAACACAATCTAATAGTGTAATTATAGAACGCTTGTGGATTTAAACTGAACAAAAATATAAACACAACATGCAACAATTTAAAAGATTTTACTGAGTTACATTTCATATAAGGAAATCAGTCAATTTAAAAAAATGAGGCCCTAATGTATGGATTTCATATGACTGGGAATACAGAAATGCATCTGTTGGTCACAGAAACCAAAAAATAATTATTGGTGTGTGGATCAGAAAACCAGTCAGTATCTGGTGTGACCACCATTTGCCTCATGCAGGGCAACACATCTCCTTCGCATAGAGTTGATAAGGCTGTTGATTGTGGCCTGTGGAATGTTGTCCCATTCCTCTTCAATGGCTGTGCTAAATTGCGGGATCTGGAACACGCTGTTGTACGCGTTGATCCAGATTATTCCAAACATGCTCAATGGGTGACATGTCTGGTGAGTATGCAGACAATGGAAGAACTGGGTCATTTTTCGCTTCCAGGGATTGTATACAGATCCCTGCGACATGGGGCTGTGCATTATCATGCTGAAACATGAGGTGATTGTGGCGGATGAATGGCACGATAGTGGTCCTCGTCACGGTGTCTCTGTGCATTCAAATTTCCATAGATAAAATGCAATTGTGTTCGTTTTCCGTAGTTTGTCTGCCCATACCGTAACCCTACCGCCACCATGGGGCACTGTTCACAACGGTGACATCAGAAAACCGCTCGCCAACACGACGCCATACACCTGGTCTGCGGTTGTGAGGCCGTTGGACATACTGCCAAATTCTCTAAAATGACTGTGGTAGAGAAATGACAACTAAATTGTCTGGAAATAGCTCTGGTGGACATTCCTGCAGTCAGCATGCCACTTACACGATCCCTCAACACAGCACAAGGTGCACCTGTGTAATGATCATGCTGTTTAATTAGCTTCTTGATTTGCCACACCTGTCTGGTGGATAGATTATCTTGACAAAGGAGAAATTCTCACTAACAGGGATGTAAACAAATGTGTTTACATCCCTGGGGGGGGGGGGGGGACCTGAGGATGAATTAACATTGTAGTTACTCCACAATACTAACCTAAATGAAAGAGGGAAGTCTGTACAGAATACAAATATTTACAATAAGGCACTGAAGTAAAACTGCAAAGAATGTGGCAATGAAATTAACTTTATGTCCTGAATACAACACTTGGGGCAAACACAACAACACTGAGTACCACTCTTCATATTTTCAAGCATAGTGGTGGCTTCAGTGTTTATTTATTTATTTATTTTTTGTATAAAAAGAAACCGAATAGAGCTAAACACAGGCAAAATCCTAGAGGAAAACCTGGTTGTCTACTTTCCAACAGACACTGGTACACAATTTCACCTTTCAGCAGGACAATAATCTAAAACACAAGGCCAAAAATACATCAAGAGTTGCTTACCAAAATGACACAATGTGGCCTAGTTACAGTTTTTATTTTAAATTGGCTTAAATCTATGGCAAGACCTGAAAATGGCTGTCTAGCAATGATCAACAACCAACTTGTTGAAGAACAAATAATATGCAAATATTGGACAATCCAGGTGTGCAAGCTCTTTGAGACATGCCTAGAAAAACTCACACGTAATCGCTGCCAAGGTGATTCTAACATGCATTTACTCAGTGGTGTTAATACTTATTACTATCTTCATTTTCAGTAAATTTGCTAAATAATTCTAAAATAATTTTTTCACTTTGTCATTATGGGGTATTGTTTGTAGATGGGGGAGGGGAAAAAAATATTTCATCAATTTTGAATTCAGGCTGTAACACTATGGAATAAGTCAAGGGATTTGAATACTTTCTGAAGGCACTGTAAGCCTATATATTTAAATCGTATTGTAATCAATTTCTTGTTCAATTGAGTTATAATTTGCTAATTGTAGGCTACTGTCTGTAATTTTTGCCTTCATGATGTGTAACGTGCGCAATGATGTGCCAAATTTGGGATTTAATGCTTTATAGTGTAGGCTAGGGCCTAAGCATTAGAATAAGCCACCTCAATATTTGCAGCCATAGTCTATAGGTGATGATATCTCTCTAGGAGCTGATCTGTCAGTATTGTGGAATAATTATAATGTTAAGGCAGGATTTGAATGGAGAAAGCTGATCCGATGGCAGTGCTGCCTTTCTTTTGATCCTATCAGTGTCGACACATGCTCCAACTACGCACTTAGTGAAAGTTATCCCTATGTAGTGTTTTGGGAAACGCATGTGAGTTCTTCGGCCGTTGTCGGAACGATGCATTGTTTTATCTTGGCCAGGTCGCAGTTGTAAATGAGAACTTGTTCTCAACTGGCTTACCTGGTTAAATAAAGGTTAAATAAAAATTTTACAAAAATACACTCGTAAGCCTAATCGCTATCGGGAAGCGGGGCCCTGGATGTTGCCCCACAAGTTCGACGGCATACGGCAAACTCGACTAGAAGTTCAGTTCTTCTTTCTAGTTGAAACAGAGCTATGCCAACATGTTTTTATTTATTTATCGATTTGCTCAATGGGATAATTAGGAGTACAGCGACACATTCCATCCCTGGATTGAGGTATGTTTTCAAACCATTTCACTTCTCGTTCACCGCGGTGAAAACATATTGGCGTGTGCCTGTTTCGACTAACAGGAGGTACTGAACCTCTAAGTTTTTGGCTAACTGTACACATATTGTGTACAGTTACCATCTCAGTGGATACCATAGGATATGCGTTTGGGTTAAGTCACACTGAAATGACTGTACCTGTTTAGCAGCATGTGTCCCACGTTGGAAGGTATATCTGTAATAATTGGTAGAAAGTTCTGATTTTAAAAAGGCATTTTACCGAGCAGTGCCCAATAAATAATTAAATCCAGTTGTTCCAAAAATCTAAAATGGATTCCATGTTGTGTTCTTTCACACCTGTTTTGTCCTAGCTAATCAATACCAGTGCTACTGTTGTAACAGCTCCCACTCTTCTTAATTTTCCCTCTGATCTCCTTTTCATTTTAGCGGTTCACTTGCTGGTAATAAGATGAGGGAATTCTGCCACCTAACCCTGACCATGGCCTTCAACTACTTCTTGCCCCCATATAGCTTCCAGATCAGAGTGGGGGGTTTGTACTTGCTCTATGGCCTATACCACACACAGCTCGCTTCACCTAAAGAGAAGGTGCTGAAAGACTCTTACTTTGAATCTCATTATTCAATGTTTTCTATTTTTAACCTTAACAATGGACTTGATATACTTTTCCACTGGCTAAACTAATATGCTGTACTGAACAATGTCTGTGGAGAATCTCAATTGCATACTCCTTGCTTCCTCTCTCCTCGCCTCCTTCTCAAAACCCATTGGAGGAGAAGGTTAGAGGGGATGGCTTTGCTTCATCCAATGGGTTTTGAGAAGTACTTGATGACTATGCAATTGAGGTTCTCCCATAGTGTGCAACAACTTGCAGACAGCCATAGTCTCGCGGAATATCTGAGTTTCCCGCACAATGACTGTAAATCTTCCAGATCCAAGTGGTCACTGTCAATCTATTTGAAATGTCACATTTTTGTAACTGATCAGAAAATGTTTATCTGATACATATGGGCTGAAACTGTCGCTCACTAGCACAGGAGAAAATCTATGCATGTCCCTGACAGTAAATACCCCCTTGGCGATAGCTTATGTAGCTATGAAGTATAGTGCCAATCAAAACATTTGGACACATCTGCTCATTCCAGGGTTTTTCTTTATTTTTGTAGAATAATAGTGAAGACCTCAAAACTATGAAATATAATAATAATAATATTATCCAAAGCGACTTACAGTCATGCGTGCATACATTTTTGTGTATGGGTGGTCCCGGGGATCGAACCCACTACCTTGGCGTTACAAGCGCCGTGCTCTACCAGCTGAGCTACAGAGGACCGACACATATGGAATCATGTAGTAACCAAAAAAGTGTTAAACAAATAAAATAGATATTATATTTGAGATTTTTCAAAGTAGCCACCCTTTGCCTTGATGACAGCTTTGTACACTCTTAGCATTCTCTCAACCAGCTTCACCTGGAATGCTTTTCAATTAACAGGTGTGCCTTGTTAAAAGTTAATTTGTGGAATTTCTTTCCTCCTTAATGCGTTTGAGCCAATCAGTTGTGTTGTGACAAGGTAGGGGGTGTATACAGAAGATAGCCCTATTTGGTAAAAGACCAAGTCCATATTATGGCAAGAACAGCTCAAATAAGCAAAAAGAAACGACAGTCCATCATTACTTTAAGACATGAAGTTCAGTCAATCTGGAACATTTCAAGAACTTTGACGGTTTTCTTCAAGTGTAGTCGCAAAAACATCAAGCGCTATGATGCAACTGGCTCTCATGAGGACCGCCACAGGAAAGGAAGACCCAGAGTTACCTCTGCTGTAGAGGGTAAGTTCATTAGAGTTTACTGCACCTCAGATTGCATCCCAAATAAATGCGTCACAGAGTTCAAGTCACAGACACATCTCAACATCAACTGTTCAGAGGAGACTGTGTGAATCAGACCTTCATGGTCGAATTGCTGCAAAGAAACCACTACTAAAGGACACCAATAAGAAGAAGAGACTTGCTTGGGCCAAGAAACACGAGCAATGGAAATTAGACCAGTGGAAAACTGTCCTTTGGTCTGATGAGTCCAAATTTTGAGATTTTTGGTTCAAACCGCAATGTCTTTGTGAGACGCAGAGTAGATGAACGGATGATCTCTGCATGTGTGGTTCCCACTGTGCAGCATGGAGGAGGAGGTGTGATGGTGTGGGGGTCCTTTTGCTGGTGACACTGTCAGTGATTTACTTAGAATTCAAGGCACACTTAACCAGCATGGCTACCACAGCATTCTGCAGCGATACGCCATCCCATCTGGTTTGGGCTTAGTGGGACTATCATTTGTTTTTCAACAGGACAATGACCCAAAACACACATCCAGGCTGTGTAAGAGCTGTTTGACCAAGGAGAGTGATTGAGTGCTGCATCAGATGACCTGGCCTCCACAATCACCCGACCTCAACCCAATTGAGATGGTTTGGGATGAGACGGACCGCGGAGTGATGGAAAAGCAGCCAACAAGTGCTCAGCATATGTGGGAACTCCTTCAAGACTGTTGGAAAAGCATTCCTCATGAAGCTGGTTGAGAGAATGCCAAGGGTGTGCAAAGCTGTCATCAAGGCAAAGGGTGGCTACTTTGAAGACTCTAAAATATAAAATATATTTTGATTTGTTTAACACTTTTTTGGTTACTACATGATTCCATGTGTTATTTCATAGTTTTGATGTCTTCACTATGATTCTACAATGTAGAAAATAGTAAAAATAAAGAAAAACCCTTGAATGAGTAGGTGTGTCCAAACTTTTGACTGGTACTGTATATCCATATGAATTTGCTGTTATCATTATTGTTTGGTTTATGTATTCCGGTGGGGCAACTTGATTCTTGGGGTTGGATGATATGTTAAAAAATAAATGTATCCAACTTGTTGGGTGTTTTTGTTTGACGTATTAGGGGGATGCGATCGTGCACAATACGTCAAGATGAGTAAGTGTGTTGTTCCCTCTTCCCTCCCAGATCAGGATTGCCCTGAAGGACTGGGAGCAAATTCAGAAGTTTTACCAGGATTCGGTGAATTCGCAGCACTATGATGCAGTTTACATTATCAGGAAGCTAATCGCTGAGAATGCTGTCCTTTACACCGCCATGCCTCAAATGGTAAGGCACTCCCAAATTACATATTGTAATTTAAAAGTATGCATTAAGGTGTCTGTAATGTATAACATACTTGGCAAAAACGAATGTAGACATTAAATGGATTTCTATATCTTCCAAAACCTTTTTAAAAAATGGAGGAGTACAACAATTGCAGTGCAGTAGCTTGAAAACAGTGCCCCCTGTCAGTCATCTGGTGTTTATTTACATCATTGGTCAAAACAAGAGATTGTAATGAACAAAATACAGCAGAGCTTCTAGTCAATGTTGCTACCTATCTGACCAATCCGAATGACAGCCTTTTACCTCAGAGCCGGCGTCCTTTTTTGTCGTGTTTTTGTCAACCCTTCTTCATAGGAAAATATAATAATTAGTGTCTCAAACGTTTTTGGGCCAACTGATGACATTGCAAGCTTTAAAATATGTTTGTTTTTCATTAAAACGTCACCTTGGTCAGTGTTTCTACACAATCTTGTATAAATATGTAAATCATGTTATGGGCCTCCGAGGCCCATGTTGTGCCAGTGTTTCCTCTGAGTTCATTTAAGTGTGGTGCTGCGCCAAGGCAGAATCATTGCCGCCACACCAAAATAAACATCCTATTTCTACCAAACATAGTTTCAATAAAGTGATTTTCTTGGTAAGTAGATCGTCTGTCTGTGTTCAACACAGTTCTGAAGGTTATTTAGCTCTATGAGCTGTGGCAGGCAGCCTGCAACTCAAGAAACACAGCACACCAGTGCGCGAGTGACCAGTGCTCGATACAGACGCTCTGCGGCGTAGAACACAATTCACATGAATCACTTCAGAATGCACCTGCGCGAGAAACGGCACACCATGGATCAGTGTGCGAGTGACCAGTGCGGAATACAGAAGCTCTGCGGCGCAAAACACAATTCACTTGAATCACCTCCGAGTGCTCCTGCTTGAGAAACTGCAAGAAAGGTACGTTAGTTTGTTTGTTTGTTTTGACCAACGTTAGCTAGCCAACTAGTTAACTACATAAGCTAGCTATAACCTAAACTCTACTAACATCATTTAGATCAGGGGTGTCAAACTCATTTTAGCGCAGGGGCCACATGGAGGAAAATTTATTCCCAAGTGGGCCGGACCGGTAAAATCATGGTATATATAACTTAAAAACAACAACTTCAGATTGTTTGTTTTCTTTGTTTTAATACTATCAACATAAAACATAAAGCTGGAGCCTGAGGACAGTGTGTCCAAAATAGTACAAGCACAACATCACTATTAATCATAAAACACCTGAAGTTTATTTGAAAATTCTAAAGAAAAAGAACACACAAACACACAATGCCTCAGTGATTCACATAACTGTTTCACAGATCACAGAACTATATCAGGGTGTCATTTCTCAGGCAGAAATGTAGATACAAATAATGAAATCCTGTTCCCCAAACAAGTGCAAGAACCACAGTCAAGAATAGGTTAAATATACAAATAAAATAAAATCAATTAAAAACAATAGCACATCAACATAAAAACATATAAACATAAAGCTGGAGCCTGAGGACAGTGTGTCCAAAAGCACAACATCACTATTAATCATAAAACACCTCAAGTTATTTGAAATTCTGAGGACAAACACACAAACACACAATGCCTCAGTGATTCACAGAAGTATATCACAGATCACAGAACTATATCAGGGTGTCTCATGCAGCACTTTAAGTGGGGTTGCATAGTTTATTTGACTCCTGATACCTGGCATCTTTTAGCTTTCGCCAGCGCATCAATATCAGGCGTCACATCCTGAGTGGCAGCCAACTTCAGGATGTGATTCAAGTGCTTGTGTGTGAGCCTTGAGCGCAGCTTTGTTTTATTCATGACGTTATCCATCTTTAATGACTTGCAACACAAAGCCTCCAATATCCACAAGTATGTTGATGATAGAAACATGGTTTACTAACGTTACTAGTCTAGCAAGTTAGCTAGCTAGTTCGTTCGTTTTTTTTGTTTTTGTGATGAACATGAATTAGTGGGCTCTAATTCATGTTCTGTCAAATGTTCCTCTGTTAATTTTGTCAAGATAAACGTTTTTATTTCAGAACTTTGGATAGCTGCAGCACTCAACCTTAAATCGTGTCCTGTATAGTAATTATAATCATTTTACCAATACGTTATTGAGCTAATTTCTGGGGGTGAAAATTATATTAGATTTTTTTCTCCACCAGAACCAAGCTTTTCAGTATTTATACATATTTTGTTTTGGGGGGGGAGGACCCCGGAACCCCCCAAAAAAGGGGGGACACCCCCACTCCCACTAACTTTTCCCCGACAGCTAACACATTTTCCAGAGGAAACACTGGGTTGTTCATCTAAGGCGTAAATCATTTCAACTTGTATTTATATATTTTCAGTATAGCAGGGCTGTCTGAACAGTGACATGATCAGCTTGAGGGAATTTAATTCAAATTTAATTTGTTGAATTGTTGTTGGAATATACATTTTGGGGGGGAATTTACCTGACATTAGAATACAACTAATTGGCCTGGAATTAGAATTTCCTTGATGGAATTTACAGTGAGAGGGAATTTAATTAGAATTGAATTTGTTGAATTGACCCCAACCCTGACCCCAACTTGAATCAGTGTGATTCGATTAGTTTTACTCGAATTAAAATCCCTTTTTGATAATTCAATTATTTACAAAATAATGTTTTCGCATGGAGCACAAGCTGCGGGCGTAACACTCAACATTCCAGAGCGTGCCAAAGAAGCCCAAAACGTGTGCTGCAGAGGGACAAGACAAAGCCATGACAACCAGTTTTGATGAGTCAGTGTTGACATTTGTTGATTCACCATTAACTAAGTTATTAGATGGAAAACAAGCTATTAGGGTGAAAAGTTTTGGCGTTTTGTTGCAGGTGCAGCCGACTCGAGCAAGCGAACATTTGAGATCATGGCTAGACGGCGGAATGATTGCTTGACGTTGTGAGAAACATTGAGCCTAGTTATGTATTTTTCTGCTTAGAATCTCCACATTTGGTAGGCTATTTCCTATTTGTTAGTCAATTTGTCTATAATTGGATACGTGATGCTTCTCTTTGTCATTACTTGATGCCCTAGAAGTCTAAATAAAGCCTTCTCACCAGAATGTCATAAATCGATAGAATGAATGCATCAATCTAGTTGACATCTGTTCTCTTTAAAGTTTTCTCTTTCATTTCTGCTTCTCTCACGGAGTGAGGACGTTTAAGGAACCAGGGGAAAATGCAGTAACTCAAACAGCGGAAAGATTTCCCATACACACCAGTGTCCAAATGACATCAGTTTGACTGGTTTTAAGAAAATCTGTGAAAACGATCCAATGATTTCAGTTCGTCTTGAATGCATAGCCTATTGGGAGTTTTAAATACTGGCAGCTTTTATATTGCTGAAAAATAAAGTTTATACACTGTCCCTAAAAGACAATTTATGATTTTTTTTTGTAACAATGCGGAGGGCTCCTTATCGCTCTGCATTGACATGATTGGTTGATGGTATATCGGGGAGGGAGGTCCTGTATAAACACTCACTTCCTTGACATCAGCTCTGCTCCGCGTAGCGCAAGAAGTATGAATGCCCTGACTTCTGCAGAGGCTGTATCACTGTAAATGCTGCACAGCCAATGCAGACGTCGGATTGACCATGCAGCGCCTTTAACCACACATTCCTATACTCTCAAGATGCTGAAAGAAATCATATTTCTCCACTCCTGTTCCCGAAACAGTTATATTTGGTGTATCATTTTACTGTAAGAAACACTTAATTCTGCAGGAGTTTATATTGTATTAGGTTACATGTGAGAGGTTCTAGGCCTACAGTCAGTGTCCAGATTTCAGTGTATTCCATTTAACCCATCTAAACTTCAAAGGTGCGCACCTGTCACACCCCTACTTCCCCTACTTCCGCTGTCTCTGCGCGCACACACACCAAACTTGGCTCCATTTAAGCCAATCAGTGCAGCACAGTACACGCGAATAGACCCTCCCCCTTAGTCTTGTAGGGTCAATTGTTTTTTTTAACCAGAAATGTAACTGATTTAACTTGTATTAAAACAGATTGCACTTTTTAATTGATTTAGATGGAATTGACCCTATACTCCTGTTCACATTGTCCACCTGCAGTTGACCTTCCGTGTGAAGAAGAAGCCCCAGCATCACAAGGTGTGCGAGGAGTTCCGTGACCGACCGGAAAGGGTCAAGGACCTCATCTCTACAGATATGCTACAGGTATGGCTTTTCCGCTATTAAAATCTTTGTTACAGTAAATTTGTAAAAACGGTTCCATGTCACGCTGAATGTGTGAATAGGCCCTTTGAACATCAGTAGGCTATAATGCAGGCATGGGTGTGCGTCTAAAGCGCGTCGCATACTATCCAGTCAAAATGTGGTCGGGCTGTTACGCGCATATAGACTGAACAAAAATATAAACATGTAACAATTTTATATGTTTTACTGAGTAACAGTTCATATAAGGAAATCAGTCAATTGAAATAAATAAATTAGGCCCTAATCGATTTAATTTTAAGAACTTGGATGCCAAATTCTCTATGTCTGGTGGACATTCCTGCAGTCAGCATGCCAAATGCACGCTCCTTCAACTTGAGACATCTGTGGCATTGTGGTGTGACAAAACTGCATTGTGCTGGGGCCTTTTATTGTCCCCAGCACAAGGTGCACCTGTGTAATGATAATGCTGTTTAATGATTTTCTTGATATGCCACACCTGTCAGGTGGATGGATTATCTTGGCAAAGGAGAAATGCTCACTAACAGAGATGTAAACAAATTTGCGCACAAATGTGGAGAAATAAGCTTTTTGTGCATATGGAAAATGTATGGGATCTTTTATTTCAGCTCATGAAACATGGGACCAACACTTTATACACTGCTCAAAAAAATAAAGGGAACACTTAAACAACACAATGTAACTCCAAGTCAATCACACTTCTGTGAAATCAAACTGTCCACTTAGGAAGCAACACTGATTGACAATACATTTCACATGCTGTTGTGCAAATGGAATAGACAACAGGTGGAAATTATAGGCAATTAGCAAGACACCCACAATAAAGAAGTGGTTCTGCAGGTGCTGACCACAGACCACTTCTCAGTTCCTATGCTTCCTGGCTGATGTTTTGGTCACTTTTGAATGCTGGCGGTGCTTTCACTCTAGTGGTAGCATGAGACGGAGTCTACAACCCACACAAGTGGCTCAGGTAGTGCAGCTCATCCAGGATGGCACATCAATGCGAGCTGTGGCAAGAAGGTTTGCTGTGTCTGTCAGCGTAGTGTCCAGAGCATGGAGGCGCTACCAGGAGACAGGCCAGTACATCAGGAGACGTGGAGGAGGCCGTAGGAGGGCAACAACCCAGCAGCAGGACCGCTACCTCCGCCTTTGTGCAAGGAGGAGCAGGAGGAGCACTGCCAGAGCCCTGCAAAATGACCTCCAGCAGGCCACAAATGTGCATGTGTCTGCTCAAACGGTCAGAAACAGACTCCATGAGGGTGGTATGAGGGCCCGACGTCCACAGGTGGGGGTTGTGCTTACAGCCCAACACCGTGCAGGACGTTTGGCATTTGCCAGAGAACACCAAGATTGGCAAATTCGCCCTGTGCTCTTCACAGATGAAAGCAGGTTCACACTGAGCACATGTGACAGTCTGGAGACGCTGTGGAGAACGTTCTGCTGCCTGCAACATCCTCCAGCATGACCGGTTTGGCGGTGGGTCATGGTGTGGGGTGGCATTTCTTTGGGGGGCCGCACAGCCCTCCATGTGCTCGCCAGAGGTAGCCTGACTGCCATTAGGTACCGAGATGAGATCCTCAGAACCCTTGTGAGACCATATGCTGGTGCGGTTGGCCCTGGGTTCCTCCTAATGCAAGACAATGCTAGACCTCATGTGGCTGGAGTGTGTCAGCAGTTCCTGCAAGAGGAGGCATTGATGCTATGGACTGGCCCGCCCGTTCCCCAGACCTGAATCCAATTGAGCACATCTGGGACATCATGTCTCGCTCCATCCACCAACGCCACGTTGCACCACAGACTGTCCAGGAGTTGGCGGATGCTTTAGTCCAGGTCTGGGAGGAGATCCCTCAGGAGACCATCCGCCACCTCATCAGGAGCATGCCCAGGCGTTGTAGGGAGGTCATACAGGCACGTGGAGGCCACACACACTACTTACTGAGCCTCATTTTGACTTGTTTTAAGGACATTACATCAAAGTTGGATCAGCCTGTAGTGTGGTTTTCCACTTTAATTTTGAGGGTGACTCCAAATCAAATTTGATTTCCATTGATAATTTTTGTGTGATTTTGTTGTCAGCACATTCAACTATGTAAAGAAAAAAGTATTTAATAAGATTATTTCATTCATTCTGATCTAGGATGTGTTGTTTAAGTGTTCCCTTTATTTTTTTGAGCAGTATATGTTGCTTTTATATTTTTGTTCAGTGTATTATGACAACGTTTTGGTGTTTAGCAGTTTTTGTTGGGGGGGGGGGCTGTTTGCACATTTTATTGATGCAAGTTTAAGTCATCAAATTATTTTTACACATTTGTTTGATACCCCCAAGTGTTCTAAAATAGAGAATGAAATGGCTTGATGGTCCATGTTAATTCCATCTTAAATATGTGTGAATGAATTGTGATTGGGATACATTTTCAGTAGAAACTGTCAACTGTATTTCTATCTCTGCATTTTTTATTTTTTATTCAACAGGTCTATAAAAATTAAGCGTTTGTTGATAGCTGATTTAGGTGTGTGACAGCCATATCTTATTGCCTTACTGAAGGTTTGCGCATTGACGGATGAGAGATGTTCCGCTGCTCTTCATGAGTTTGTAGGTTAGTCAAACTATTGAAAGTTATCAGGCTTGTTCGCCTGTCAAATTCAGGTTTCTTAAAGTCTTCAGTTAAACCAGTAATGCGTATTGCAATATTTACCTGGAGCTAACCCTGCAGATAGCACTACTGGGTGATCTGAAAAGTCATAGTCAATCGATCAATAATGTAATAATACTTTTAGCAAAAAAGTTTATTTTCAATTTACAATCTGTAGAAACAATGAGAATAGAAGGGTTCAGAACTTTTGTAAAACATCACTACAGTTGAAAAATATATGGCAAATAGAAATCCAATATGGATGGTGTTAAGAGATAGATGGGAGGAGTTGAAGGATGGGACTAATAACAACTAACAGCAACTAATAACAACATAACTAATGTAAAACATACTGTGTCCATAATAAGTATATAGGTTATAGGTTGAGCGCTTTTGTGAAAGAGCACAGTTAGAAAGATATGGCATATAGAAGCAAACCGGATGGACATCATGAAAATAATCAGAAAGGTTGAGGGTAGAGGAAGTTCAGGAGTAAAAACAAACAAAATATAATTATTGTAAAATTGACTGTGTCCATAAAATGTATATAGTATGTATAAGCTGGAAGTAGAGGCCTAAGCATTGTTGTTCACTAGTTTACTCCAATTAGGGAAGGGGTGGTGGGGTTGGAAAGTAATAAAGGGAAATATATTTTGAAAAAGGGTGTGTGTATGTATAATATATATTTGCAAGAAAAAAAACATATGGGGGATTGGAAGTGATGCAGACAATTACATTGATGGAAGTTACAATCTATCTGCAATATTAAAGCTGATCTACCCCCTAAAAAAAAAACACTAAAAAAACACGGTGACCCCACCCCATTGTTTGTCAAAAGCAGAGGGATGGGGCTGGAGAAATGTAACCACTCTCAAACTCATGTACAGAACTATTGATACAGGGACTGACATCATGATATCAATATGTTTTGAGCCTATGCAGTTTGTTTACATTTACTTTGTTTGGCATATTTTATATTCTCAACCAATGCCATTTAGTAAAATGATCATGTGGTTTTCATTATCGAACCACACCCATTCAAAGATGGTTGAAAACCAGGAAGTGAATGTGACCTAAATGGAATCTCAATTACCACATTCTTTTTGTACCAATTCTATATAAAATGCCAAATTACAAGGTTGACCTCAAACAACATTTTAAGAATGAGTAAATTACTAATGTTTGACCATTTTAGGAACTTCAAAAATATGCTCTACCAGGCGGTTGAGTTGCCCATTTTAAAGGAATGTTATTAAGTCAAAGCTAGTGATAATGGACAAGAGAAATGTTTTTTTAATGGGATTTTTATTTGTGCAAATCCAAAAATCCTTTCAAGACCGTATAATTATTTACTGTATGTCTGTTATCTTCAATAACCACTATTGGCTTAAAAAGCCAAACCTAATACAATCTGCCAATTCATTTCCAGGAATATTGACAGTCTCTATGGTGCGTGCGTTTGTACATCACTCCGTGTGTAGCTAGTTGATGTGATTACCGTCTTGTGGGTTGACAGAAATACTTTCCCCAAAACCTTCTCAATTAAATGTTAGTAGGCTTACCTGGCAGAAGTATATCAATATATAATTTGTATCTCTTATTTGCAAGCTTTGCCATGAAATGCACAGCAGCAGTACAGTCATCACTAGACCAGCATGTTAGCTGGCACATTCCTCACTCGCTATTCCCGCAATTAAAGGGCCAGATGTGCAATTGAAGGGGTATTACACAAAACATCTGTGTTTGCTTTCTTCCAGACCTAAAAAATGGTCTTCAGATATGATTTTAAGCATTGACATGGACTCAGAACATGTTTATCTGTGAATAATTCAAATTTTGAGAGTGGAATAACTAAAAAAATCTAAAACCAAGAAACCTTTTACTGAACATAATTTGGGAAAATATAAAACATAATTTGGGGGAAAAAGCACAGATGTTAGTAGTTTATTAACCATTATTTTACCAGGTACAGTGAGGGGGGAAAAGTATTTGTATGTTTGCCCACTGACAAAGAAATGATCAGTCTATAATTTTAATGGTAGGTTTATTTGAACAGTGAGAGACAGAATAACAACAAAAAAATCCAGAAAAACGCATGTCAAAAATGTTATAAATTGATTAGCATTTTTATGAGGGAAATAAGTATTTGACCCCCTCTCAATCAGAAAGATTTCTGGCTCCCAGGTGTCTTTTATACAGGTAACGAGCTGAGATTAGGAGTATACTCTTAAAGGGAGTGCGAAGAGCCTAGGCGTACCCTGGACAACACCCTGTCTTCTCCGCCAACATCAACGTCGGTGACCCGCTCCTCAGGTTCATGCTCTACAACACCGGAGAGTAGACCCTGCCTTACAAAGGAAGCGGCACAGGTCCTAATCCCGGCACTTGTCATCTCCCGTCTGGACTACTGCAACTCGCTGTGGCTGCACTCCTGCCGTGCCATGAAACACCCTACAACTACCAGAATGCGCAGCCCTACTGGGTTCAACCTTCCCACATTACAGTCACCCCCCTCCTCCGCACACCCACTGGCTTCCAGTTGAAAGCTCGCATCCGACTACAAGGACCATGGGTACCTAGACAGTGAGGGGAACGGCAAACCTCTACAAATCCTCTGAACAAAGTCCCAACACCAAAAACACAAAGAGGCATAGCGTTTCATCCACTATGGCCAAGCGGCATCACTTCCTTGCGGAAGACATAGATCGCCACCAGTCAAAAAAGTAATCTCTTAAGCACACCAAGAACAACCCCTCAAACCCAGACACGGCACCACACCCCAACATGAAACCACCACCCCCTCTTTAAAAACCCCTGAACGGATATATCCTCTAACCCCCCCCCCCCCCCCCCCCCCCCCCAAAAAAATGTAAAGTGGTTATCCCACTGGCTATAGGGTGAACGCACCAATTTGTGAGTCGCTCTGGATAAGAGCGTCTGCTAAATGACTAAAATGTAAAATGTCTTAATCTCAGTTTGTTACCTGTATAAAAGTCACCTGTCCACAGAAGCAATCAATCAATCAGATTCCAAACTCTCCACCATGGCCAAGACCAAAGAGCTCTCCAAGGATGTCAGGGACAAGATTGTAGACCTACACAAGGTGGAATGGGCTACAAGATCATCGCCAAGCAGCTTGGTGAGAAGGTGACAACAGTTGGTGCGATTATTCGCAAATGGAAGAAACACAAAAGAACTGTCAATCTCCCTCGGCCTGGGGCTCCATGCAAGATCTCACCTCATGGAGTTGCAATGATCATGAGAACGGTGAGGAATCAGCCCAGAACTACACGGGAGGATCTTGTCAATGATCTCAAGGCAACTGGGACCATAGTCACCAAGAAAACAATTGGTAGCAGACTACGCCGTGAATGACTGAAATCCTGCAGCGCCCGCAAGGTCCCCCTGTTCAAGAAAGCACATATACAGGGCCGTCTAAAGTTTGCCAATGAACATCTGAATGATTCAGAGGAGAACTGGGTGAAAGTGTTGTGGTCAGATGAAACCAAAATTGACCTCTTTGCATCAACTCAACTCGCCGTGTTTGGAGGAGGAGGAATGCTGCTTATGACCCCAAGAACACCTTCCCCACCGTCAAACATGGAGGTGGAAACATTATGCTTTGGGGGTGTTTTTCTGCTAAGGGGACAGGACAACTTCACCACATCAAAGGGACGATGGACGGGGCCATGTACCGTCAAATCTTGGGTGAGAACCTCCTTCCCTCAGCCAGGGCATTGAAAATGGGTCGTCGATGGGTATTCCAGCATGACAATGACCCAAAACACACGGCCAAGGCAACAAAGGAGTGGCTCAAGAAGAAGCACATTAAGGTCCTGGAGTGGCCTAGCCAGTCTCCAGACCTTAATCCCATAGAAAATCTGTGGAGGGAGCTGAAGGTTCGAGTTGCCAAACGTCAGGCTCGAAACCTTAATGACTTGGAGAAGATCTACAAAGAGGAGTGGGACAAAATCCCTCCTGAGATGTGTGCAAACCTGGTGGCCAACTACAAGAAACGTCTGACCTCTGATTGCCAACAAGGGTTTTGCCACCAAGTACTAAGTCATGTTTTGCAGAGGGGTCAAATACTTATTTCCCTCATTCAAATGGAAATCAATGTATAACATTTTTGACATGCTTTTTTTCTGATTTTTGTTGTTATTCTGTCTCTCACTGTTCAAATAAACCTACCATTAAAATTATAGACTGATCAAAATTATAGACTGATATGTACAGAAGACAGTGCACTACTTTATCTTGTACAGGGGAGAAGAGTAGAATGTCCCTATTTGAACGATATACTTTTTTTTTGTAGCTTGCAACGTTTCATTTTTAAGTAGCTCTCCTGCTAGAAAACGTTGGTGATCCCTCATACTGTAGTTGGAGAAAACATGGGGGATGTAATGCTGCTTTAAAAGTTGATAAATTGTAATCTAATTTAGGAGAAAAGGGCATTCAAACATTTTCCTGCGATTTTCACACTTGTTCTACATTAATCGTTGGGAAACCTATTTAGAAAGGGAATACTTTCAACAAATTGCCAACATTATCTCACCAAGTTCCCCCATTAGGCAAACCATTAACAGTATTACATTGCTTATTGTTGTATAGTACAGATAACCTTTCACATTGAACAGCTACAGTGCTGCTCTTTGTTTTTGCTCATTTAGCATCGTTCACACCCTCTTAAGCCTTAGATCGACCATCTCTTAAAGAATTCACATTGGAACACGTGACTGTGGCCATGTGCTAAAGCAGTGAGGTAGTGCTTAAAAAACAAAGATTTAAACATTAAAATACTTTATCAACATCAAGTGCTAAAGGTAGTAGCCTACAATTAGGAAATAATTAAAACGCATAGACTTTTTACAACCTTATTCTATAATGGATTAAATTGTTTTTTCCCCCCTCATCAATCTACACACAATACCCCATACGCAAAAATAGGTTTTTAGAAAATTTTGCAAAGTTCTTACAAAAAAAACTGGATATAACATTTACATAAGTATTCAGACCCTTTACTCAGTACTTTGTTGAAGCACCTTTGGCAGCGATTACAGCCTAGAGTCTTCTTGGGATTGACGCTACAAGCTTGGCACACTTGTATTTGGGGAGTTTCTCCCATTCTTCTCAGCAGATCCTCTCAAGCTCTGTCAAGTTGGATGGGGAGCGTCACTGCTTAGCTATTTTCAGGTCTCTCCAGAGATGTTAGATCGGGTTCAAGTCTGGACTCTGGCTGGGCCACTCAAGGACATTCAGAGACTTGTCCCGAAGCCACTCCTGCGTTGTCTTGGCTGTGTGCTTAGGGTTGTTGTCCTGTTGGAAGGTGAACCTTCGCCGCAGTCTGAGGTCCTGAGCACTCTGGAGCAGGTTTTCATCAAGGATCTCTCTGTACTTTGCTCCGTTCATCTTTCCCTCGATCGTGACTAGTCTTTCAGTCCGTGCCGCTGAAAAACATCCCCACAGCATGATGCTGCCGCCACCATTCTTCACCGTAGGGATGGTGCCAGGTTTCCTCCAGATGTGACACTTGGCAGTCAGGCCAAAGAGCAATCTTGGTTTCATCAGACCAGAGAATCTTGTTTCTTATGGTCTGAGAGTCCTTTAGGTGCCTTTTGGCAAACTCTAAGCGGGCTGTCATGTGGCTTCCTTCTGGCCACTCTACCATAAAGGCCTGATTGGTGGAGTGCTACAGATATGGTTGTCCTTCTGGAAGGTTCACCCATCTCCACAGAGGAACTCTGGAGCTCTGTCAGTGACCATCAGGTTCTTGGTCACCTCCTTGACCAAGGCCCTTCTCCACCGATTGCTCAGTTTGGCCAGGCGGCCAGCTCTAGGAAGAGTCTTGGTGGTTCCAAACTTCTTCCATACAAGAATGATGGAGGCCACTGTGTTCTTGGGGACCTTCAATGCTGCAGACATTTTTTTGGTACAGTTCCCCAGATCTGTGCCTAGACACAATCCTGTCTCTGAGCTCTACGGACAATTCCTTTGACCTCATGGCTTGGTTTTTGCTCTGACACGCACTGTTAACTGTGGGACCTTTATATAGACCGGTGTGTGCCTTTCCAAATCATGTCCAATCAATTGGATTTACCACAGGTGGACTCCAGTCAGGTTGTAGAAACATCAAGGATGATCAATGGAAACAGGATGCACCTGAGCTCAATTTCGAGTCTCATAGCAAAGGGTCTGAATACTTATGTAAATAAGGCATAAAAATAAAACATTATTTGCAAACATTTCTTAACCTGTGTTCGCTTTGTCATTATGGGGTATTGTGTGTAGATTGAGGGGAGAAAATAAGTTAATCCATTTTAGAATAAGGCTCTAACGTAACAAAATGTGGAAAAAGTCAAGGGGTCTGAGTACTTTCCGAATTCACTGTATGTCACTGCAAAACTTGTTGCAATGGTTTTACATTGGTATTTAGCTTTATGTAACGGTTTATCACGAGAGACTATTTTCACACTGAATGTCCTTCTGGATTCATTTAGCATATCAGACTGTTGTCTGGCAAGTGTGTGTGTTTTGTTTTGCACATAGGAGGTGGCCAACATTCAGGGTCACTATGAGCGGCTGAAGGCGTCCGTCTTGGAGAGGTCATCCATTGCAGTGACCCAACAGGACCTGCCGGCCCGCTTGCACAGCTGTGTGCTCGAGTTCCTCCACTGGCAGGACAGGCATGAGGTGAGGCTCTCCAATGGGCAATATGTAGGGGTCACAATGTAACTGTGATATCAAGAAAGCTGTTATTTTCAATCCTTATGGTTAAGAGTAAGACAATCGTTTTAAAATGAACCGGTTAATTGATTTGCTGTTAAAACAACCATAGTACAGTACTATGAACGGAAATGTCTATGGGTTCAGGAGTGAAGTATAAGCATTATGTTGTCTGCTTAGTTCAGAACCTGTGATTTGTTCTATAGTTAGTTTCTCCATCCTGTATAGCGCTGTTGTGACACTGTCACCGATGGAGATAGGACATTTTGGCTGTGACACGTGCTTGTGTGTTGGCACAGCAATAACTTACAACAGTTTTATTTTGTGTACAACTTGGGTTATTCAATCAAAACCAGGAACTGGTAAAAATAACAATCTTATAGCGCAGCGAGAAAGCATATTTCAATGCAGTAGTGTTTTGTTGAGAATGCATCGAATGTACATTTCTACTCTGAATAATAAATATTTGAGCCCAGAAACTGGGTGCGATTTTAAACTAGGCTTTTTGTTGCGCTTAGGACCGTGGAGATGCAGACCACTTGGTTGCTGCTGAGGAAAAAGCCCAGCAGGTCGAGGTAAGCCTTAAGCTTTAGCATAGTTATCCTTTTTTTGTACTGTAATGAAATAACTAGGTTATGACTATTTGGGAACTTGGCATACTGTTAAAAATGCTAGAAAGCCTTTTGCACAGCAGTGCTTGTTTTGCTGCTGTAGTAACATTGCTAGAATATAGTACATTGACTAACTGAAACTAAGAAACCCTTTGGGAGTGTGCAATGGTTTTACATCAACACTAGTGAGGACCACCGTTGGCCAGATGGTGACATTACAAGCATTGAAGGTCTTATCCTTTCCTGAATAAGCTCTCTCTTTTTGTCCAGTCTTCCAATAGGGCACAGCTTCTGGCATCCATCAAGACAAAATCATACGGGCATCTTGCAGAGGTCTGCTGAACAAGAAGCGATTCTCTCACTTCATTTCAAGTGCCACTGTTGTTTAAGTGTCCAATGCATATCTGTCAAACTCCAGTCTTTTAGGGCAGAGTGTCTGCGGCCTTTTGCTCCTCCCTAGTGCTTTATTGATTAGTTAGGATCTCCCCTCACCTGGTTGTCTGGGTCATAATTGGACATTAACTGAAAGAAAATGACAAACCAGCAGATATACAGCCCTCCAGGAATTGAGTTTGACACCGCTGGTCCAATACATAGTTTTTCTTACACCACTTTTTAATGGCTATGCATGTGTTCAAAGAAAAATGTGTTTTATTAATAGCAAATTATGGGCAACATTTTCCTCTCGCTAAAAGGCGCACAATGTGCTAAAAAATCTGAGCAATTACTTTTCAGCTCACCTGTAGGTCAACTGATTGATCATTTTATGTTTATCCACAGGCCTCGAAGTCACGGCGGCATCGCCAGGTGGAGATGGACGCATCAATTTCTGGAACAGACCACTTCCAAGAGGCCCCCAAATATCACAAAAGTAGGGCTCCATCACTCAGGGCCCGAACCTGCAAGAACCTCTGTGGGGAAGGTCAGTGTACCTCTTGTTGGATGAGAACTCAATGGTGATTTTGGTGAAATGTTTGGGTGAGTTTCTCCATAGTCAACAGTGATGTGGAGAAACGTTTTAAAGCTAGCCGCAAAGCAAGAGAACACCTGCAGGCCTGTCAGACTGAAGTTCTGTTATGGATGCACCACAAACAGGCAGCTAGACAACAGTGGTCACCCCAAGATGGATTCTGCTTAGTCTATTTTAATTCCACTTGCATTATTTACTCTTCAGGGCGTGTTCACTCATAGGCACCTGAACCATGGGGTAAACTTGGCATCTGCCACACCACTATCAGATTAGGGGGGGCCACTTATGCTTTTGGCGTCTTACTTTTTAAAATTAAATCACCATGGCACCTCTTGAGCGGATGAATAATGTTCTGAGCTAGAAATGCAGTAAGAAATACAGTAATGTATCTTTGAAAATAATATGCTACGATATAATTAAGCAATAAGGCCTGGAGTTGTGGTATATGGCCATCCAAGTGTACAAAACATTAGAAACACCTTCCTAATATTGAGTTGCATCCCCCTTTTGCCCTCAGATCAGCCTCAATTCGTCGCGGGGCATGGACTCTACAAGGTTGTCGAAAGCGTTACACAGGTGCTGGCCCATGTTGACTCCAATGCTTCCAACTGTTGTATCAAGTTGGCTGGATGTCCTTTGGGTGGTGGACCATTCTTGATATTCACGGGAAACTGTTGAGTGTGAAAAACCCAGCAGCGTTGCAGTTGTTGACACACTCAAACCGGTACGCCTGCACCTACTAGCATACCCCGTTCAAAGGCACTTAAATATTTTGTCTTGCCCATTCACCCTCTGAATGGCACACATACACAAACCATATTTCAATTGTCTCAAGGCTTAAAAATCCTCCTTTAACCTGTCTCCTCCCCTTAATCTACACTGATTTGAAGTGGATTTAACAAGTGACATCAATAAGGGATCATAGCTTTCACCTGTTTTCACCAGGTCAGTCTGTCATTGAAAGAGGTGTTCCTAATGTTTTATACACTGTGTATAGGGCCAATATACCACGATTAAGGGCTGTCCTTATACACAACGCAATGTGGTGTGCCTGGATACTGCCCTTAGCCGTGGTATATTGGCCATAAACCACAGCGGTGCCTTATTGCTATTAACTGCTTACCACCATAATTAGAACAAGTAATTTTGCTTTATACCCCTGTCTGATATACCACTGCTTTCAGCATCCAGGTCCCAAACTACCCAGTTTGTAATTATGAACATAGGTAAGCAATTGTCACCAACAAGCAAATTCCCAATTTACGACCAACGATGGCGCTTGCAGTGTATTGCAGAGCTCTCAATTGACAATTTCAAATTGAAAACAGACCCGTTCGGTCAATCCTTCAGTTCTCAGGTCCGAAATGAGTTTTTGATTCATAATTTTCCTGTTTATATATTTGGAATTGGAATAATACATCTTTACCTTGTAGCTTATGTAAGGGATAATCAATGTGTTCTATAGAAAATAATGCATGACGTGGAAGGTGTGACGCGGAGTGGCACTAACCTTCCTCGGAATTCCATTATTTTCCATAGAACGCATAGAGCCCTGAGTTGAGTAACCCGTTTTTATATAGAGTACCAGTAAAAAGTTTGGACACCTACTCATTCAAGGGTTTTTCTTTATTTTTTACTTTTTTAAATTGTAGAATAATAGTGAAGACATCAAAACTATGAAATAACACATATGGAATCATGTAGTAACCAAAAAAGTGTTAAACAGCTATGGTATTTCGAATTGAGCACATTGGGTATCAACTTGGAATCTATTAGGAAGTAGTCGATTGTAGAATAAGACTTGTGAAATTGAGAGTAGAATGAGTAGTCTTTGTCTGTGGGATGTTGCAGTCTGCAGATGTCCACTAGATTCCTGGATTTTATAAGATTATTTAGCACTTGGACAGATGTGATATTTGGTGGAGTACGTGTAGACAGTCTGTCAAGATACGGATCAAGGTAACAATTAAAATCACCTCCGATATATTAGATTAGTGGTACTAAGGTCTGGGAGTAAATCAAAAACATTACGAAAGAAATGTGGGTCATCAATGTTTGGGCCATAGATGTTCAATAGGGTGACAGGGAAAGAGTTAATGTTCCCTGATACTATGATGTACCTACCGTGTGGGTCTGTAGACATGGACGAAAGTTGAAAAGGGATGTTTTCACAAAAGAGAATAGTAACACCTCTAGCCTTGGAAGAGAAGGGTGATTGATAAACTTGGGAAATCCAGTTGGATCTCACATGCCGCTGCTCGGTGGCTTTTATGTGCGTTTCTTGCAGGAAAATGTCAGCACCAAGTGACTTCAAGTGCTTAAATACCATACCCCTTTTGCTCGCATGCCCGAGACCGTGCACATTCCACAAGACTGTGACACCTTTAAATCTGACTGATTCCCATGATCGTTTCCTGCCATTTATATCCAAGGGCATTTCAAATATAACATCTTCAACATGTACGAATTCAAATAAAACTTGTCTGGCAGCAGAAAACAAAAACAAAACACAGTAACCGACCCCAGAGAAACCCGCCCTCCCCACTGATTTCCCAAATGAAGCACTGTTCTCCCCATCTCATGTAAATGAGGACCGCCGGGCATGATGGCTAGAACAGACCCAATACTACGCTAGCACGCTAACAACAGTGAGACTTAACTAACAGCCCTCTCCAGTGGTTGTTGGAAAATAAATGAATACGTTACCGTTCATGAAGAAACTGTTTGCTCAGTCAATATCCCCAAAATTTGTGGCGAGTGATTTCACCCTTTCAGGGGGTTTGCTGTAGTTTTGACACATAGCTTGCAGCCTCTTCGGGCTTGGTGAAGACTCTTGTAATGCCGTTGTGATGGACATGTAGCTTGGCTGGAAAACGCAGGCTGTATTTCACCTCCGCCTCTCTCATGGTCTGCATCACATCTTGAAATGCTCGCCGTTGCTCCATCACCTCCATGGTGTAGTCGGGAAAGATGAGAACCTTTTTGGCCTTTGTATTCCATAGCTTTCTGTCGTCCATGTCGTAGAATGAGCTCCTTTTCCTGGAAGTGATGCACCCTTGCGATTATGGTATGCGGCTTGGGAACTGGTGAGGGCTTCGCCTGTAGAGCGCGGTGTGCACGGGCAATGATGAGGGGCTTTGGGAAGTTGTCATCGCCCAGCAGCTTAGAGATGAGCTTGGACACGAATTCTGTGGGTTTCCCTTGTTCTTCGTCCTCCAAAGTCCCCTCGTTTGATATTCAGCCTGCGACTCCTGCCCTCTAAATCAAGAACCTTGGCTTGGAGCTCCTCGTTCTTCTTTTTAAGCTCTGCGCAGGTGGTTTCCAGGCCGTTGATCCAGGTGTCATGATCAGACAGGGCCTCATCGGCTGTGTCCATGCGGCCCTTCAGTTCGACCTGTGCTGTCTTGAGAGACTCATACTTTGTTTCTAGCCTTTCAATAGTTGATAGTTTGAATTACAGCCTCTTTCATTTGTTGACACATGGCCGTGGCAGAATCTTGTTGCTGGGCATCTGGAGAGTTGTCGTCATCAGTACTCAAAATGGAGCTAGCTGCTGCTTGTTGGGCCTGGGCCTTTGTCAACTTAGCATTAAGTTGACAAATGTTCTGTTGGTTTTCGTCGCCATATTTCACTTTTTCGCTGCTAGTTAGTGCCTGGGGAATATACTAAACAATGTGTATATATTTTGGGGGGCATTCTTGGAAATAAAACGGTAAAAATGACAGATTTCAAAATTTGCGAACAGGATATCTATGGGAACGCTTCTACTCCATGCGCACTAGCGCCCGAAGAGTAATATAATTTTAATAAAACCTTTTAATGGCATCCCATAAAATGAGGATCGTCGACTGAATTTTTGTTAATCATTATGAATTACACTGAACAAAAATATATAAACACAACATGTAAAGTGTTGGTTTCATGAGCGGAAATAAAAGATCACATACATTTTCCAGCGTATTTTTCTCTAATTTGGTGCACAAATTTGTTTACACCCTTGTTAGTGAGCATTTCTCCTTTGCCAAGATAATCCATCCACCTAACTGGTGTGGCATATCAAGAAGCTAATTGAACATGATCATTACACAGGTGCACCTTGTGCTGTGGCAATAAAAGGCCACTCTAAAATGTGCAGTTTTGTCACAACACAATGCCACACATGTCTCAAGTTTAGAGGGAGCGTGCAATTGGCATGGTGACTGCAGGAATGTCCACCAGAGCTTTGCCAGAGAATTTACTGTTAATTTCTCTACCATAAACCGTGTCTAACTCGTTTTGGAGAATTTAGCAGTACGTCCAACCGGCCTCACAACCACAGACCACGTGTATGGCATTTGGGAGAGCGGTTAGCTGATGTCAACGTTGTGAACAGAGTGCCACATGGTGGGGTTATGGTATGGGCAGGCATAAGCTACGGACAATGAGCACAATTGCATTTTATCAATAGCAATTTGAATGCACAGACACCGTGACAAGATCCTGAGGCCCATAATTTTTAAAGGTACCTGTGACCAACGGATGCATATCTGTATTCCCTGTCATGTGAAATCCAAAGCTCATTTTCAAGCTTAACTACAGTGAGCTGGTTGCAAAGCTAAAACAAAATAGAGCGCTGGTGAATATAGATTAGGGCCTAATGAATTTATTTCAAATGACTGATTTCCTTATATGAACTGTAACTCAGTAAAATCTTTGAAATTGTTGCATGTTGCGTTTTTTTGTTCAGTATAATTCAATTCAGTTTCAAATTGTTCACAGAAAGATGGATTTTGCAGTCCATCTTGTGGCTCTTTTAGGAGATTCTGACATTTGTGACCAACAGGCTCGATTTGGTCTTTGAAATTGTGTTTTTTACATTGAATAAAAGTAGAGACACAGAGCTAGATAATGGTATGTAATACACTGCAGTTGAGGAACAATGGGAAAGTAATTCTGCTTTGAAAGTTGATAAACTTGTAACCTCACTTTTTGAGAAAATGGCCCTTGAATGTTTTGGTACACCTACTGGAGCTCGTCTTTGTCTACACCCATTCAGCGTCATTCACATCCTCTTAAGCCTTAGCCCCACCCATCTCTTTAAGGATTCACATGTGAGGCCATGTACTAAACAACCAAAGATTTCAAGACTAAAGGCTGGTTTATACTACGGGTGTGTTCATCAATTCAATCTGGAGTGCCAGAGTGTGCTCTGGGCATTCGTAAACTCAGAGCGTTGTTTTACCAGCTACGTCTATCGACAGTTGTCGCAGTGACATCATGAATATTCTATTGAAATGGTTACTTGCTTAGTGGAGTCTTTTTGTTTAGACATGTAGCTAGCTAAACAATTAACCATAATCCCAACTCATAACGTTACTACCCTGCATGAATCTGCAGGTAGCTAACTAAACAGGTTCAATATTAGATAGCTAACATTAGGCTATAACTAGCAATGCCAATGGCTCTGAGATATGAATAATATTACTACACAGATCATACACGTAGCGTTAGCTAGCGAGCCAGCCAGCTAACGTTAGCTAGCTAGCTAACAGTACGCTTTAACTTGAAATAAACGACTTTCTTACAAAATTAGAAACGTGTAATATCTGAAAATGTAGCTAGCTAGACTATCTTACCCTTATACATGGATGTATGCTTCTCCCTCTGTCTCCTTAGCTATCATACTCTAATTCCACCGGAGTGCAACACTTTTGCTTTTTGCAGTTCTATTACTTGATATTGTTCAAAAAAGCCACATTAGAAAGGATTACCTACACATACTGACCAGCTCATGTTATAGACAGAAGAGTGCTACATGGCAGACCAGTCCGAACTCATCTCTCGGCATGTCCAGCCCACACATTATCTCAGCCAATCATGGCTAGCGGGAAGGTTCCTGTCTTTTTCTATGGCTAAACCAACTAGGCTCGTAATTTAACAATGTTTTTCATATTTACAGATGGCATACAAGTGTGTTATAAAGGTACATGAAAGTTCACATGTTCTAGAATTATTTCTGCCAAAAAACGAATTTTGATAAAACAATACATTTACGTTCAAATGGCTCTCCTGTGAAGTAGTGACGCGCGACATACGCCTAGTTTCCTGAAACTAGTCACATTTTGTATCTGACAGTAATAGGCATGAGGATAGGGTCATATGTCGAATTTGTATTTTCTTAATTTAAAGAAAATAGAGGAGTAGATAATAGTATGAAATTGATTCAGGAGAATGTTTTGTGCCTTTTTGAATAGAAAGTGTACTCTTTTGCTTTAGGGTTATGAACTCGCCATGCGTCAATTATGTTGTAATCAGAGAGTATATGTTGAAGGGCATTGGTTGCCTGTGGATTGTAGTTGGTCTTATTAGATTTGTCCAGAATGGCATTCGTCTGTCCCAATAACCAGTTGGAATTCAGTAAATTCTAACAATATGCTGTTCAGAGAATCAAAAAACGTAGGATCATATGAATTTGGAGCATACACATTAATAAAGGCAATTTTCTTTCCATTATGAATAGTTTAAGGAAAGTGATTCTGCTTTCGTGGTCTTCGCCTTTACCAAGGATGGTGATTTTGAGTTTATGTATCATTATTATTATTATTATTATTATTATTATTATTACACCATTATTATTATTAAATACCTACTACAACTACACCACCACCACCTACGAAGTAAGGGTGGGTAATAAACAAAATACAATTTTAAACAAAGATATAACATATGCAAGCCTAATCCATTATCAGTCAAAAATAGGATAGCAGTAGGATCCATATATTCTTCATTAATTGGAATGGTGTCATCACTGTGTAAATGTCCTGGAACATAGGCTCAGCAATAATATTCATATTCTTCCTTCTACCCAAACATGAGGGGTGTACTCATCATTTTTCTTATGCTGAGGGCAGCATCATAGCCATAAGCTATGCTGTATGACTGTGCATGGATAGCATACCTGAATGAGCCGTCATGGGGTTCCATCTGTCGGCTTGTCCGGTTGTGAATTGGGTTTCATATGCTTCTCCAACAACTCTTGAGCTTCCTTGGCAGTGCAAATCGTGTATTATGTTCTGGAAGGTCAATGAGGTTTTGCCGGGTGGATGAAGCCGCATCTCAGGTTTAGCTTGCGTAGCTGGAATCTCACCTGGTTGTAGGTCTCCCTCTGTTTTAGCAGTTTGTCACTCAGGTTTGGGTAGATGCTGATCCTCTTCCCTGCATAGGTCAGACACCTGCATCCCGCTGCAAGGCGAACAATTTGCCGCTTGGCTTAAAGCTGTGGATCCGTACAATCAATACAGCGAGAGCTGTTGTGGAGTTGACCCGTGTGGTGCGCAATGTTAATCAGCGGCATGGGACCCAGCTTCTCCTACCCGAACAGTTCATAGAAAAGATTGCTCATGAAGGAAGTTGGGTTGCCCGCTTCCACACCAGTTTCAAGACCTGTGACTCGTACATTTTAATTTACGAGAATGATTTGAGTGATTCTATTTTCTCTTTTAGGACTTTGATTATCCCTTCCAACTTAGCTCGAGCTGTTTCTAGGTCATGGAGTCGCACCATTGGCTGTCTTCTCCACATTTCCCACTTTGGTTGAATAGGTAGCCACTTTAGCGGTGAACACTGCCAATGATTCTTACCGGTTTTAATTGGAAGTCGAGGGCAGAGGTAATCTCCTCAAGAACAATCTGTTCTATAGTAGTAGCGGCCTGCTATTTCTGTTGCCTGGTAATGAGAGCCGCCATGTTCCTACAGTTGAATTGTGGACGGACAAATTCTAGGGGCGTAATAGACCTGCTAGTTATTTCTTGTCACACAATGCATGTCCCCACACCTTTTAATATGATATTTAGTATTGAAAAGTTTTAGCAAATAAGTCAGTTAATTCATAGTAATTTGCAAAAGAAAACCACAGAACCGAGTTTCAGTGCATGCCAGCTGAATCGCAAACCATCGGCGTAAACTCTATTTTGAAGTCAAATTTAGTTTAACTTTTGAGGTATAGATGAATGTGTACTGTGATGCATTTTACCTGTCTGTCCAGGCTTTAAGTCCCTTGATTGATACCAGATGAGGCTGGTGGGAGGAGCTATATGAGGACGGGCTCATTGTAATGGCTAAAATGGAATAAATGGAGTCAAACGTGGTTTCCATATGTTTGATACGGTTCCATTTATTCCATTACAATGAGCCCATCCTCCTATAGCTCCTCCAACCAGCCTCCTCTGATACTGTATATCCATATTTACCACAAGCCAAGTTATGCTCTTTATTTCACTGATTTAACTCCGGTCATCACCAACCTTACAATAGCTTTTTGTTTTGCTGTGTCCCTTTCCATTAGGAGATGAACAGAAGACCCAATATTGGCTCCTTAGTGTTGCAGAGGAGGACAAGACTGCATGTAAGAACAGGCCAATGCCACTTACCAGTATGAATAGGGGATTATTTCAATGCAGATCCATATAAAAAATACTTGTAGTCCATTTATTGTATTCTTCAAAGTAGTTCCCTCCCACACATTACCTGACAGCCAAGTAGGGGGGGGCAGGAAACTAAGTGAAAGTCTGGATTTACACTTAACCAAGCGTTCTCCTTTGCAATATGTCATTGACGCTTGTTTAAAGTTACAAATTCTGGCATGCACCAAATTATCACAACTCACTTTTGTATAATTGTTAGGTTGTGCATAACAAATGAACGTTTGTGAGCTGCACAGTATGGCAGGGTCAATTACATCCAATTAACTGTACTGGCGATCTCCCGACCCAAAAAATAAACTCATTGACAGAATTTTCTGTCGTAGGTGTACATTAAAAAAACTAACATTTTTTGTCATTTAGCAGACGCTCTTATCCAGAGCGACTTACAGTTAGTGAGTGCCTACATTATGTTTTTCATACTGGCCCCCCGTGGGAATCGAACCCACAACCCTGGCGTTGCAAACGCCATGCTCTATCAACTGAGCTACATCCCTGCCGGCCATTCCCTCCCCTACCCTGGACGACGCTGGGCCAATTATTTGCCGCCCCATGGGTGTAAACACCGCTACGAGGGAGATTCCATGGGATTCTGCGGCATGTGCTATAGAAATGATTAAGCAATTGGTTGATCTTTCCACAGCACATCAACATTAGCCATTTAGGCTGTGTGAATTTCACTATTTTGGGCCTAAAATGGGATTATAATGCTCGTATGTAATACCAATACAGTTGTCATAATCACTTGTCAACAACCGCATTACAGGCCTGCTACGTTTAACGCGTAACTTTTACAACTTATTTATGAGTGTTTTGCTGATGTATATTTTAGGTACTGTAAATCCAAACGTAGACAAATTGTCTCTTTTGTTTACGTAGTTAACAAGGTGCACCCTTCACGTTGACACAAGTCATTGATTGTACCAACTCCGCCTTGCGGTTAGTGTCCGCCCTGAGATTGGAAGGTTGGGAGTTCGATCCCCAGCTAGGGCTGTTGCGGTGACCGTATTACCGGCACACTGCGGACGGTCACGTGTCATGAAGGCAGTCAAATTCCACGTGACTGATTAGTCATGGTAATTAGGCTTCTGCAAGCTCTGATGCTGCTGCTGGTCATTAGTAGCCTACCAAACTTGCTAACTGCCTGGTACTCAGCACTCCCTCTAATCGTCCCTCTAATCGCTCTGACATCAATGCAAATGTTATCGAAAATACAGTCAGTATCTGGTGTGGCCACCAGTTGCATTAAGTACTGCAGTGCATCTCCTCCTCATGGACTGCACCAGATTAGACAGTTCTTGCTGTGAGATGTTACCCCACTCTTCCACCAAGGCACCTGCAAGTTCCCGGACATTTCTTGGGGGAATGGCCCTAGCCCTCACCCTCCAATCCAACAGGTCCCAGATGTGCTCAATGGGATTGAGATCCGGGCTCTTCGCTGGCCATGGCAGAACACTGACATTCCTGTCTTGCAGGAAATCACGCACAGAACGAGCAGTATGGCTGGTGGCATTGTCATGCAGGAGGGTCATGTCAGAATGATTCTGCAGGAAGGATACCATATGAGGGAGGAGGATGTCTTCCCTGTAACGCACAGCATTGAGATTGCCTGCAATGACAACAAGCTCAGTCCGATGATGCTGTGACACACCGGCCCCAGACCATGACGGACCCTCCACCTCCAAATCGCTCCCGCTCCAAAGTACAGGCCTCGGTGTAACGCTCATTCCTTTGACGATAAACGCGAATCCGACCATCACCCCTGGTGAGACAAAACCGCGACTCGTCAGTGAAGAGCACTTTTTGCCAGTCCTGTCTGGTCCAGCGACGGTAGGTTTGTGCCTATAGGCGACGTTGTTGCCGGTGATGTCTGGTGAGAACCTGCCTTACAACAGGCCTACAAGCCCTCAGTCCAGCCTCTCTCAGCCTATTGCGGACAGTCTGAGCACTGATGGATTGTGTGTTCCTGGTGTAACTCAGGACGTTGTTGTTGCCATCCTGTACCTGTCCCGCAGGTGTGATGTTCGGATGTACCGATCCTGTGCAGGTGTTGTTACACGTGGTCTGCCACTGCGAGGGCGATAAGCTGTCCGTCCTGTCTCCCTGTAGTGCTGTCTTAGGCGTTTCACAGTACGGACATTGCAATTTATTGCCCTGGCCACATCTGCAGTCCTCATGCCTCCTTGCAGCATGCCTAAGGCACGTTCACGCAGATGAGCAGGGACCCTGGGCATCTTTCTTTTGGGGTTTTTCAGAGTCAGTAGAAAGGCCTCTTTAGTTTCCTCTAAATTTTCATAACTGTGACCTTAATTGCCTACCGTCTGTAAGCTGTTAGTGTCTTAACGACCGTTCCACAGGTGCATGTTCATTAATTGTTTATTGTTCATTGAACAAGCATGGGAAACAGTGTTTAAACCCTTTACAATGAAGATCTGAAGTTATTTTGATTTTTACTAATTATCTTTGACAGACAGGGTCCTGAAAAAGGGACGTTTCTTTTTTTGCTGAGTTTATATTGGTATGGTATATTCTCTGATTATTTGTGCATATAAATGGACCCCAATGTAATTAAGACTCCATCCCATTCTCCTAAATTGCTCTGACTCTCTCTTACATTTTGTTTCAGTGAAAAGACCGAAGCGAAAACAAAAATTCCGGTGGTGAAGAGAATGCAGAGGCTTTGGGCTATGACTGCTGCACTTTTGGAGAGGCTGGTTTCAGACAAATGTAATACATTAGGAGCAGACTTAATCTCCACATAATGAATCTATTCATCAAGTTCTCTGAGGGCTTGAGCCAGTTAATTACTGTGTATATAACAGGACATTTAATTAATAGCACACACTTGTTTTGTTTTTGTGTACAAATAAATGTGGCACCAAATTTGCATCATTCCCTGAATTTCCAAGCATGCATGATTAGTCCTTTGTCCTTCTGACAATCGTACTGTACTGGGTATGGCCCATCCAGTGGGGGTTCCTCCTCCCCTTGTTTTTAGGGTGGTGTTTTACCCCAAGTTCCCCTACAGTTGACCCATGTTACATTTAGCCCCACTTTCCCCTATGTACTTAGTCCTTAAGTCTATTAATGCCAATGTCAATCTAATTAATGTACATTTACAAAATCTGTCAGTTTAAGATGTAGCTCTGTTTTTTTGCATTGGCTGCGTCCCAATCCACCGCATCCACTTATGTCGGCCTTCCGCATCTACGTTGGAAGGTGGCTGAGCTACAGTGGTGTTTGTCAGACCATGAGACATCCCGAAAATTGGTCTTCTCAAGAAAACGTCTGTAGCGTCCGAACGGTTTGGCCTACTGTGACGAGGTGTGAATGAAGGAGTCAGGCGCAGGAGGTAAAACACCGAAGTCCAGAGTTTATTCTGTTTACATAAATAAAACGCACCCAGCTTCAAAACTACTATTAAAAAACGATCTATCTATTCCTTGGCAATAACAACTGGAAGAGTAGATCAACCGAGCTACTCGCTCTCACAATGAAACAATCACTCACAAAGACAAGGGGAACAGAGGGAACACTTATACACATACTAATTAGGGGAATGAGCACCAGGTGTGTGTGATTGACAAGACAAGACATGACAAGTAGAGTGATGAGAATGGGATCAGCAGTAGCTAGTAAGCCGGTGACGACGAACGCCGAAACCTGTCCGAACAAGGAGGGGAGGCAGCCTTGGCAGATGTCGTGACACCTACGACCCCCACAAGTGTCACGGGACTCGTCTGAAGGTGACCCATACAAATGAATGAAAGTATGGAGGTAGTTTTGTGCCAACAAAAATAAGGGGTTAAATATGTCCAACAAAAACAAATATTGAGCATTCTTACATCTCCTAGATATAGGACAGACACTTCAAAACTTGAACCATTATGATTTATTTTTTGACTGTCTTTTTTTGCCATTTATGAATGTTATTCAATGCGTTTCTATGGGCTATATATTTTTGATACCTAAAGGGGTCCTAAAATTCAATCAACTAGCTAGCTAAATGATCCATGGTATGACCATCTTAAAACAATTCCATATTGCTTAGTAGAACTAGCATTGAAGTTGAAGTCTATTGGTAACTACTACCATGCTAGCATATACCAATAGACTTCGTCATTGCGCTAACGCAATTTAGCATTGGACGCAGAGACATAATAATGGTATCCACAAGTTCATCTGACTCTGGGGAAGTAGATAAAGGGGCTCATTGCCAAAATCCCGAAGTATCCCTTTAAGCAGTCTCACAAAGTAAGGCATAGGGCTGTTGTAGTATCTGTCAGTCCGAGTAGGGTGAAGGTTAATGTGATGGCAGAGTTTGCAAAACATTGATCGATAGATACAAATCATCATAATATATCATTCTGCCAGGTAGGACTACTTTGCAGTCAACATTTCAATTGGGGAGGTTTTTTGGAAAAGCCTTTAGAAATGTTCATTCAAACAGCACATGATGACTGAAATGCGCATTGCAAAGATTCAACCAAGACTTCGGAGCAACCTTTTTGAATACCTGGTCTGCATACCCATTGTTGACACCGCGACGGCTCTCAAGGAACTACAATGGACTTTTTGCAAACTGGAAACCGCATATCACGAGGCCGCATTTATTGTAGCTGGGGACGTTAATAAAGCAAATCTGAGGAAAACTCTACCGAAGTTTAATCAATACATCACCTGCGCTACTAGCTCATCAATAATTATTGACCATTGCTACTCCCCCTTCCGGGACGGCTACAAGGCCCTCCCCCGCCCTCCCTAAAGCAGATCAGATCACACTTCCATTCTGCTCCTCCCTTCCTATAGGCAGAAACTTAAACTGGAAGTACCCGTGGTAACGACTGTTCAACGTTGGTCTGACCATTTGGAATCTATGCTTTAAGATTGTTTTGATCACGCGTACTGGGATATGTTCCAGGTTGCCTCAGAGAATAACATTGATGTATACACTGACTCTGTGACTGAGTTCATCGGGAAGTGCATAGAGGATGTTCCCACTGACGATTACAACTTATCTAAACCAAACATGGATAGATGGCAGCATTTGCGCAAAACTGAAAGCATGAACCACCGCATTTAACCACAGCAAGGTGACTGAACATCGACGAGTACAAACAGTCAGCTATGCCCTCCGTAAGGAAAAAACAGGCAAAACATCAGTGCAAAGACAAAGTGGAGTCGCAATTCGACGGCTCAGACATGAGACGTAGGTGGCAGGGACTCCAGACAATCACGGATTATAAAAGGAAAATCAGCCACGTCCTCAACACGGGAGCCCCACAAGGGTGTGCGCTCAGCTCCCTCCTGTACTCCCTGTTCACCCATGACTGCGTGGCCATGCACGTCTCCAACTAAATCATCTTGTTTGCAGACGACGCAACAGTGGTAAGCCTGATTTACCAACAACGACAAGACAGCCTACAGGGAGGAGGTGAGGGCCCTGGCGGAGTGTTGCCAGGATAATAACCCCTCCCTCAACGTCAACAAAACAAAGGATCTGATCGTGGACATCAACGGGGCCGCGGTGGAGAGGGTGAAAAGCTTCAAGTTCCTCGCCGTGCACATCACTAACAACCTTGAAATGGTCCAGTCACACACAGTGTGGTGAAGAGCATTTACTAAAAGGAGGAGGCTGAAGAAATACAGGTTGGCCCCTATGACCCTCACAAACTTCTACAGATGCACCATTGAGAGCATCCTGTCGGGCTAAATCACCGCCTGGTACGGCAACTGCTTTGTCCGCAACCACAGGGCTCTGCAGAGGGTGCTGTGGTCAGCCCAATGCATCACCGGGGGCACACTGCCTGCCCTACAGAACATCTACAGCGCTCGGTGTCACAGGAAGGCCAAGAAGATCATCAAGGACCTCAGCCACCCGAGCCACGGCCTGTTCACCCTGCTATCTAGAAAGTGGAGACAGTACAGGTGCATCAAAGCTGGGACTGAGAGACTGAAACAGGTTCTATCTCCAGGCTATCAGACTGTTAAATAGTCACCACTAGCCGGCCTCCACCCAGTAACCTGCCCTGAACTTTAGTCACTGTTACTAGCCGGAAACCACCCAGTTCTCAACCTTTCAGACACTGCTGCCCTATGTACGTCGTCATTAAACACTGGTCACTAATGTTTACATACTGTTTTACCCACTTCATATGGATATACTGTATTTTAGTGAATGCTCATCCTATAACTACTGCTGTACACACCTTTTCTATTCATATTCTGTCCATTATGTCTATACACACCATCACATACATGTAAATTTATATTCCGGACTCTGACATTGCGCGTTCTAATATTTCAATATTTCTTTATTCCTTTCTTTACATGTTTGGGATTTGTGTCTATTGTTAGGTATTACTGCACTGTTGGAACTAGGAACATAAGCATTTTGCTACACCCGTGATAAAATCGGCAAAATGTGTACGCGACCAATAAAATGTGTTTCTTTGATTTGCATACAATGATGTATATACAGTGGGGAGAACAAGTATTTGATACACTGCCGATTTTGCAGGTTTTCCTACTTACAAAGCATGTAGAGGTCTGTCATTTTTATCATAGGTACACTTCAACTGTGAGAGACGGAATCTAAAACAAAAATCCAGAAAATCACATTGTATGATTTTTAAGTAATTCATTTGCATTTTATTGCATGTCATAAGTATTTGATCACCTACCAACCAGTAAGAATTCCGGCTCTCACAGACCTGTTAGTTTTTCTTTAAGAAGCCCTCCTGTTCTCCACTCATTACCTGTATTAACTGCACCTGTTTGAACTCGTTACCTGTATAAAAGACACCTGTCCACACACTCAATCAAACAGACTCCAACCTCTCCACAATGGCCAAGACCAGAGAGCTGTGTAAGGACATCAGGGATAAAATTGTAGACATGCACAAGGCTAGGATGGGCTACAGGACAATAGGCAAGCAGCTTGGTGAGAAGGCAACAACTGTTGGCGCAATTATTAGAAAATGGAAGAAGTTCAAGATGACGGTCAATCACCCTCGGTCTGGGGCTCCATGCAAGATCTCACCTCGTGGGGCATCAATGATCATGAGGAAGGTGAGGGATCAGCCCAGAACTACACGGCAGGACCTGGTCAATGACCTGAAGAGAGCTGGGACCACAGTCTCAAAGAAAACCATTAGTAACACACTACGCCGTCATGGATTAAAATCCTGCAGCGCACGCAAGGTCCCCCTGCTCAAGCCAGCGCATGTCCAGGCTCGTCTGAAGTTTGCCAATGACCATCTGGATGATCCAGAGGAGGAATGGGAGAAGGTAATGTGGTCTGATGAGACAAAAATAGAGCTTTTTGGTCTAAACTCCACTCGCCGTGTTTGGAGGAAGAAGAAGGATGAGTACAACCCCAAGAACACCATCCCAACCGTGAAGCATGGAGGTGGAAACATCATTCTTTGGGGATGCTTTTCTGCAAAGGGGACAGGACGACTGCACCGTATTGAGGGGAGGATGGATGGGGCCATGTATCGCAAGATCTTGGCCAACAACCTCCTTCCCTCAGTAAGAGCATTGAAGATGGGTCGTGGCTTGGTCTTCCAGCATGACAACTACCCGAAACACACAGCCAGGGCAACTAAGGAGTGGCTCCGTAAGAAGCATCTCAAGGTCCTGGAGTGGCCTAGCCAGTCTCCAGACCTGAACCCAATAGAAAATCTTTGGAGGGAGCTGAAAGTCCGTATTGCCCAGCGACAGCCCCGAATCCTGAAGGATCTGGAGAAGGTCTGTATGGAGGAGTGGGCCAAAATCCCTGCTGCAGTGTGTGCAAACCTGGTCAAGAACTACAGGAAATGTATGATCTCTGTAATTGCAAACAAAGGTTTCTGTACCAAATATTAAGTTCTGCTTTTCTGATGTATCAAATACTTATGTCATGCAATAAAATGCAAATTAATTACTTAAAAATCATACAATATGATTTTCTGGATTTTTGTTATAGATTCCGTCTCTCACAGTTGAAGTGTACCTATGATAACAATTACAGACCTCTACATGCTTTGTAAGTAGGAAAACCTGCAAAATCGGCAGTGTATCAAATACTTGTTCTCCCCACTGTATCCCTGGATTGCTGATGCTATGTATTGGCCATTGAGAGGCTTTGAAGCCACCGGTTGGCCATATTTTATTATGTTTAGCTCATATACAGTGCATTCGGAAGGTATTCAGACGCCTAGACTTTCGACATTTTGTTACGTTACAGCCTTATTCTAAAATTTATTAAATTGTTTATTTCACTCATCAATCTACACACAATACCCCATAATGACAAAGCAAAAACAGGTTTTTAGAAATGTTTGCTAATTTGTTAAAAATATAAAATATTCAGACCCTTTACTCAGTACTTTGTTGATGCACATTTGGCAGCGATTACAGCCTCGAGTCTTCTTGGGTATGACGCCACAAGCTTGGCACACCTGTTTTTGGGGAGTTTCTCCCATTCTTCTCTGCAGATCCTCTCAAGCTCTGTCTGCTATTTTCAGGTCACTCCAGAGATGTTCGATCGAGTTCAAGTCTGGGCTCTGGCTGGGCCACTCAAGGACATTCAGAGACTTGTCCCGAAGCTACTCCTGCGTTGTTTTGGCTATGTTCTTAGGGTCGTTGTCCTGTTGGAAGGTGAACCTTCACCCCAGTCTGAGGTCCTGAGCACTCTGGAGCAGGTTTTCATCAAGGATCTCTCTGTACATTGCTTCGTTCATCTTTCCTTCGATCCTGACTAGTCTCCCAGTCCCTGCTGATGAAAAACATCCCCACAGCATGATGCTGCCACCACCATGCTTCACCGTAGGGATGGTGCCAGGTTTCCTCCAGACGTGATGCTTGGCATTCAGGCCAAAGAGTTCAATCTTAGTTTCACCTCCCTGACCAAGGCCCTTCTCCCCCGATTGCTCAGTTTGGCCGGGCGGCCAGCTCTAGGAAGAATCTTAGTGGTTCCAAACTTCTTCCATTTAAGAATGATGGAGGCCACTGTGTTCTTGGGGACCTTCAATGCTGCAGACATTTTTTGGTACCCTTCCCCAGATCTATGCCTCGACACAATCCTGTCTCTTAGCTCTATGGACAATTCCTTCGACCTCATGGCTTGGTTTTTGCTCTGACATGCACTGTCAACTGTGGGACCTTATATAGACCGGTGTGTGCCTTTCCAAATCATGTCCTATCAATTGAGTTCACCAAAGGTGGACTCCAATCAAGTTGTAGAAACATCTCAAGGATGATCAATGGAAACCGAATGCACCTGAGCTCAATTTCGGGTCTTATAGCAAAGGGTCTGAATACTTATGTGAAAACCTGTTTTCGCTTTGTCATTATGGGGTATTGTGTGTAGATTGATGAGGAACAAAATGAATTCAATCCATTTTAGAATAAGGCTGTAATGTAACAAAATGTGGAAAAAGTCAAGAGGTCTGAATACTTTCCGAATGCGCTGTATGTACACTACCGGTCAAAAGTTTTAGAACACCTACTCATTCAAGTTTTATTTTTTTATTTTTTATTTTTACAATTTTCTACATTGTAGAATAATAGTTTAGACATCAAAACTATGAAATAACACATATGGAATCATGTAGTAACCAAAAAAGTGTTAAACAAATATATATACAGTGAGTGAAAAAAGTATTTGATCCCCTGCTGATTCCATATGTGTTATTTTTTGCCCACTGACAAAGAAATGATCAGTCTATAATTTTAATGGTAGGTTTATTTGAACAGTGAGAGAATAACAAAAAAACATCCAGAAAAACGCATGTCAAAAATGTTCTAAATTGATTAGCATTTCAATGAGGGAAATAAGTATTTGACCCCCTCTCAATCAGAAAGATTTCTGGCTCCCAGGTGTCTTTTATACAGGTAACGAGCAGAGATTAGGAGCACACTCTTAAAGGCAGTGCTCCTAATCTCAGTTTGTTACCTGTATAAAAGACACCTGTCCACAGAAGCAATCAATCAATCAGATTCCAAACTCTCCACCATGGCCAAGACCAAAGAGCTCTCCAAGGATGTCAGGGACAAGATTGTAGACCTACACAAGGCTGGAATGGGCTACAAGATCATCGCCAAGCAGCTTGGTGACAACAGTTGGTGCGATTATTCGCAAATGGAAGAAACACAAAATAACTGTCAATCTCCCTCGGCCTGGGGCTCAATGCAAGATCTCACCTCGTGGAGTTGCAATGATCATGAGAACGGTGAGGAATCACCCTAGAACTACACGGGAGTATCTTGTCAATGATCTCAAGGCAGCTGGGACCATAGTCACCAAGAAAACAATTGGTAACACACTACGCCGTGAAGGACTGAAATCCTGCAGCGCCCGCAAGGTCCCCCTGCTTAAGAAAGCACATATACAGGGCCGTCTGAAGTTTGCCAATGAACATCTGAATGATTCAGAGGAGAACTGGGTGAAAGTGTTGTGGTCAGATGAGACCAAAATCGAGCTCTTTGGCATCAACTCAACTCGCCATGTTTGGAGGAGGAGGAATGCTGCCTATGACCCCAAGAACACCATCCCCACCGTCAAACATGGAGGTGGAAACATTATGCTTTGGGGGTGTTTTTCTGCCAAGGGGACAGGACAACTTCACCGCATCAAAGGGACGATGGACGGGGCCATGTACCATCAAATCTTGGGTGAGAACCTCCTTCCCTCAGCCAGGGCATTGAAAATGGGTTGTGGATGGGTATTCCAGCATGACAATGACCCAAAACACACGGCCAAGGCAACAAAGAGTGGCTCAAGAAGAAGCACATTAAAGTCCTGGAGTGGTCTAGCCAGTCTCCAGACCTTAATCCCATAGAAAATCTGTGGAGGGAGCTGAAGGTTCGAGTTCCCAAACGTCAGCCTTGAAACTTTAATGACTTGGAGAAGATCTGCAAAGAGGAGTGGAACAAAATCCTTCCTGAGATGTGTGCAAACCTGGTGGCCAACTACAAGAAACGTCTGACATCTGTGATTGCCAACAAGGGTTTTACACATAGGAAATACACATGCGGAGGTCATCCGTTCACACACACCGCGTCTCACAAAGACTCCGGTTGGAACCAAAATTCTCTAATTTGGACTCCAGACCAAAGTAACGTAAATGTAAAATGAAGGCCTGATTCACACAGTCTCCTCTGAACAGTTGATGTTGAGATGTGTCTGTTACTTGAACTCTGTGAAGCATTTATTTGGGCTGCAATTTCTGAGGCTGGTAACTCTAATGAACTTATCCTCTGCACCAGAGGTAACTCTGGGTCTTCCATTCCTGTGGCGGTCCTCATGAGTGACAGTTTCATCATAGTGCTTGATGTTTTTTGCGACTGCACTTGAAGAAACTTTCAAAGTTCTTGACATTTTCCGTATTGACTGACCATGTCTTAATGAGGACATTTGCATGGTTTGGACCAATGAGATGTGCTTCTTTTTTTTCAGCATAGAGAGAAAATATCATCAATATTTTATAAAAGGAAAAAGGAAGTTATGGCCAGTGTTTTTTTTGTAACATGTTTAATAGTATATCATTACATATGCTAATCATTACCCATGTGACTGAGTTGACAGCCTATTAGTAATACCGCAATAATGGGCTTAATAGCGATGTTTAACAACGATCACGTTTGTTACTGTTCCAAGTATGACCGCTTTCATTGAGTTGGATTCATGATGGGTCATACTTACCAGAATAATACTTACTGTTACTTATTTCCTTTGTCACTGTTCTTCATGAAACACACACACACAGAGTTTCTGCTGTTACATCCTGTGAACTCTGCCCCTCTCATCTCTCTTCTGTCCTTCCCAGTTAACAGGGCCTGTTTAACAACAGTGAGGCTGACTACCACAGAAGGCAGCACTGGACAGCCATGCAGGTGAAGGTAACACCACACACAGTTTCAGCCTCTCATTTCTCCCTTTAAAAATGGAGCCTAACACACACATGCATACTCACAGATGTTGTTGGTGTACCAGCCATATTAAAACCAACCATCACCAAGTTTACCATTGCAGACATCCGTTTCCCTTCACACCGATACACATAAGCTGTTCATGTGATGTCACCATTACTCTCACTCTTGTTACAAAATATGTTTTTACCATATTTATTTATTCTCATTTTCTTCTCTGAGGAATCATATTTTATGCAGTGCTGGTGAAATGGACAATCAAACATGTCAGCTGTTGCTTCATTGTATAATAACATGTCCATGCAATCTTATATCTTGTGCAATCTGTCCATTCTTTTGAAAGAATGTGGATTGTCCTACATGAAATTCTCTGAAGGATGAGGAAGGAATCCAGCAGGTTGTCCTACAGGAAAATGGCCCTGGAAATCTTGTGGAACTACCTGCAGGACTCTTACCTACAAGATATCCCACAGGATTTTTGGGCCATTTTGTTCTATGACAATTCCTACAGGTAGTCCTTCAGGAAACAATCCTGCAGGATTTATTTGAGGACTATCTACAGGATCCTGCAGGAATTGTCCTACAGGAAAGTCGCCCCGGAAATCCTGTGGGATATCCTGCAGGACTTCCTATTCCTGGATATATATTCTGAAGGATTCCTGCAGGATTTTTCATGCAGGATTCCTGTAGGACTTTTTTGTAAGGGCAACTCAAGCATTTACATAGCATTAGACTGTAACAAAACCATTTTGCATTAGGTCAAAGATCTGTAGTTAGCTAGGTGCTTTTGAAAATTAGCTAGCTAGATAACCACTGACTGTAGTTATGTGGACAATGCACGTTACCTTCCTTACAAATAAAAAGAAAACCAGCATAGGCTAGCATAATGACTGTTGTGACCTTTTATTGACAAGTCTTTAGTGAGCTAGCCAGCTAGTTAAGCGGTTTCTGTAGTCATACTGTTTCATGTGGTGACATGCTAGCTAGCATTAGCCCACCAGGGAAGGGATATTTAGCTAGCTAGTTAACGTTAACTCACCATTCGTGTAGTCAGACTTGCTAGCTAACGTTAGGCCGGCACCATGGCAAGGATAGTTGGTTAGCTAGCATGTCACCACTTAGAAAAGTCTGACCACATGACCGGTGAGCTAGCTAAATATCGCCTTGTGGGCTAGCTAGTTAGGTACCTTGGTTGGCTAGTTAGCTACATTAGCTAAAGTTAGCTAGCTGGCTAGCTAGTTCACAAAGGACTTGTGGGCTTAATGTTTTCCCCATACAAAACACAGAAACGGGTTTGTTCCACGAGTGCATCTGTTGTACATGACTAATCAAATGATCTGTGAAGTCAGATAGACATGTCAGAAGGGATGGAAATTAAGCTAGCCCGAGGCTAGTACTTTTCAGACTGGGCTTGTAGACAATGTGCTAAACTAGCCTGACACAGCATTGACATTTTGCCGTTACAAACATCGCATGCCATAGATTTAGGACCTGAATGTTACCTGGGCTAGTAGAAACCATGGTCTACTGGCCAGTGCCCAAAATCCTTATGTTCCATCCCTGCATGTCAGTCCCTTTCAGACAATCCCCGCTGAAGAATGTAGGTGTTTGCTGTCTGCAGAGTTGCAGAATGTTCTCACTGAGTTGAATCTTGAGGAAACATTAGCGCAGTTGAAGGTTCTACAGGAGAATGAGCTGTATACCCACAACAGGTATGCAGCATCACAGCTGTCTGATAAAGTACTTGGAAACAGGACTTCCAGACAAAGACATGTTCAACATCGTTGTTGAATACTTGGAACGTTACAAGGACTGTGTTGTCTATTTTGCCAAGTGGAGGGTCGAGGTGCTGTCATTTGAGGATCAAGTGTTTATGGCGCTTATGAAGTTGCGTCACAGCTACACCAACTCGCACCTGGCTCAACTATTCCGTTGTAGTGCAAGCACTGTCAGCAATGTTACCATCACTTTCATTCATGTGATCCACAAGCTTTTTTTCATTAGCATCATGAAGACTTCCAAGTCGGGAGAAGAACCAAACGTGCTTGCCTGTGTCTTTTCAGGGGTCCAGCAGAAACTTCAGGATGGTCATTGACTGTACTGACATAGAAGTTGCTACTCCAAGTCAGATGGATCTGCAGAAGCAAACCTACTCTGTGTACCGTTCAATGCACTCCTTCAAGCTACTCCTGGGAGATGCACCTAATACGGTGATAACATACTGCAGTGATCTGTGTCGGAAAAATACTTTGTCCAGAAGTCTGAGTTTGAGGAGATCTTCACGTCTGGAGACATGACTTTGGCAGACAAAGGCTTCTTGATCCAGAGCTTGATGCCTGCAGGAGTCAGTGAACATTCCTACATTCCTGAAACACGGAAGGTTCACAGAGAGTGAGATACATCTCACAAAAGACATAGTGAGAAACATGATCTATGTTGAGAGGGCAAATGCTTGACTAACATATTTCTAAATCCTGAGATTCATCCCACCGTATCTGCTTTATAGTACTGTGCTGGTGCAGACTTGCTGTGCACTTGTAAACCTCCAAGACCCACCACTGACTAAATGCCTCTTTGTCAGTAACTCAGATCAGTAGCTCATCAAATATGATACAATTCTGTGTAAAACATTGCATTTCTAGATGCATCGACATTTTTACGTTGTCCCCTTTTCCCCATGTTTTTGACATGAGGCGTGACATGCGAAACATCAGGCTCACCCCACGAGAAGCAGTGCATGATCAACACCACCCTCAGCAAGGAGATTGGCTGGAAGTGATGGCTCTCCCATCCTTAGATTCTCTCTCTCGTTAAGCAGTCCAGATTATTTTCGTACGGTTAGTGGTGTAAAGTACTTAAGTAAAAATACTTTAAAGTACTACTTAAGTTGTTTTTGGGGGTGTTTATATTTTTGACAACTTTTACTTTTACTCCATACATTTTCCCTGACACCCAAAAGTACTCGTTACATTTTGAATGGCTAGCAGTACATCTGATCTGGCGGACTCACTAAACACAAATGGTTTGTTTGTAAATTATGTCTGAGTGTTGGAGTGTGCCCCTGGCTCTCCGTAATTAAAAAAAACAACAAGAAAATGGTGCGTCTGGTTTGCTTAATATAGAGAATGAAACTATTTATACTTTTACTTTCAATACTTACGTATATTTTAGCAATAACATTTGCTTTTGATACTTAAGTATATTTAAAACCAAATACTTTTAGACTTTTACTCTAGTAGTATTTTACTGGGTGACATTCACTTACTTGAGTAATTTTCTATTAAGGTATCTTAACTTTTACTCAAGTATGACAATTGGGTACTCTTTCCACCACTGCGTACAGTGTGTCGTACCCAACTCTACTTACTTCTTATTTGGAGTTCAGTGGAAACATTGAAGTTCCAGGCACGAGGGATGTTGCTTTGATTTTGCTTTGTTGCCAGTTAATTAGAAATATTGTCATTTAATCATTCTGTGCTATGGCCATGTTCGAGAGGATCAAAACCGCAATGTGTCATGGGTAACTTGTGACTGACTGACTGATCTACAAATAATAATGAGTCGTTATTTATGATGAAAGGTGATTTGTAGATTAGTCAGTCGGCAGTCGCCTGCAGTCATTTTGATGCTCTCGAACATGGACATGGCTAGTAGGAATCCAGCATTTGTCAAATTAACATCAGATTTGACTGTTCGTAGCAGGTTAGGATAATTAACGTAGCAGTTTAGGATAATTAGGTTAATAAAAGGGTTAGGGTTAGCAAAAATTTAACATTTTACAAAAATATAAAATGCCATAAGGTCTGAACTAGACACCAAAGTTGACATACTGTACAAACAATTATCTAGGTAACTAAAACAAAATAATTGTTTGATGCTCTGCTAGCTAGCTAGCTAGCTAGCTAAAGTGTAGTCAGTGGCTAGCTAAGACAGAGAAAGGGGACGTAAGAAGTTAAACACTTTTGAATTCATTTTAATACAGCACATGGATACATCATGGATTGGGCACAGAAGGTCTCTGATGGCGCTGGTGAACAGTAGCTGACAGTGTCGGCTAGAGATGACGTGCAGGAGCTTCCTGTAGTCTTGCTGAGGTCTTATCTGTTGCTAATTATTTTTTTGAGTACATTTTTTGAGGCTAATATATTGATAAAACTCACGTTGTCCGAGAGAGAATTACAAGGTTCTAAAAACTTAACGCCAAGGTAAGCCAACACCAAACACATACTTATTTTGAAGTGTTTGTAAAATTCACTATGTGAAAAATGAATGGTGGAAAAACGATTGGAACCATTTCCATGTTTGACCGCTAGGTTTTATGGGGGGACTATGAGAAAAAGGCAGAGAAAGAGCAGTGGACAGCAGTGGAGGCTCCTCAGTGGAGGAAGGGGCGGACCATCCTCCTCAGTGAATTTCATAAAAATAAAAATGGTAAAACATTGAAAAAGTTATCATTTTTAGATAAAACTATACTAAATATATTAAAATCACCAAAATAATTGGTTAAAACATACTGTTTTGCAATGAAGGTCTACAGTAGCCTCAACAGCACTCTGTAGGGTAGCACCATGGTGTAGCCGGAGGACAGCTAGCTTCAGTCCTCCTCTTGGTACATTGACTTCAATACAAAACCTAGGAGGCTCTTGGTTCTCACCCCCTTCCATAGACGTACACAGTAATTATTACAACTTCCGGAGGACGTCCTCCAACCTATCAGAGCTCTTGTAGTAAGAACTGACATGTTGTCCACCCAATCAAAGGATCAGCGAATGAATCTAGTACTGAAGCTACAGCTAGCTAGCACTGCAGTGCATAAAATGTGGTGAGTAGTTGACTCAAAGAGAGCGAGACAATAGGTGAACAGTTTTCAACCAATTAATTTCTTGAAAAATGAAGGAGAAGCAAGAGAGAGAGATTTCGTCATTTTCTTTTCACTTTCAGTTTCACTTACTTAGCTAGCAAATGCAGCT